AACATATTACTACGCTTGCCTGCTTCGAATGTTTTTGCTTTGAAGAGAGGCAAGTACAACTCAACATCAACTGAATGAGGAATGCAAGCTTGGATTAAGAGGAAGAGTAATTGCACCTAGCATTTACATAGTGATTCAGAGAGTCTTTAAAGCACTTTAACGAAGGTTTGAATACTCTAATGACCCGACCCCCACAAAGTGGAGCTTCTTTGTCAATATAAAACCACATATTGGCTAAAAACTAAATATACTGGGCAATAAACAGATCCACTAGCAAGGGGTGAAGGAACTTTCCCCCCAGCAGGCCAAGTCTTTGCCCATTCTGTGGGCCAACTTTGGCAAGTGGGTGGGGCTACCCGCTTGTCAATCATCTGATGTCATAACAGCCAGTGATGGATAGGTGGCCAGCCCAACCCAAATTGGGACAGGAAGAGGTTTGCTTCACCAGTATGTTGCCCAAAGGAAACATGCTGTGGAAGTAGCACCTAGCAGGACTGAAGTCGCCACACATCTGCTGGGGAAACCCAGCCAGATGCACAGGGTATAATCCTGCCTCTTTGGCTGTGTGTACCACTTCCCTGTGGGAATCTGGTGAAGGCAGACTATGCAGAAGGAAGACAAACTTTTTTTCATGCATCAATTTTCGCTATATTTAACCCCAAAACTTTCATCTTAATTCTAGCCATATTAATTTGCAGGTATTATTATTATTATTATTTCCATATTTTTTTTAGGGGGGGAATCTCAAAGCAGTTTACAACCTTAGGGAAGCTTTTAATGTTTAATAGGTTATTGTATTTTAGTGTTTTGTTGGAAGCCGCCCAAAGTGGCTGGGGAAACCCAGCCAGATGGGCGGGGTATAAATAATAAATTATTATTATTATTATTATTATTATTATTATTATTATTATTTACATGAAAACGTCTAATAAAACAATCCAGAGTAAAACATTACTGAAGAAAGTCAAATATAAAGTTAAAGAAATTTAAAGACAATTAGCATTCATTCAAACATAATTATCAGGAAGGACTGGGAGTAGTAGGAAAAGACAATAATAAAATGTTATCCTAAATATTTAAAAAACACTACAGAGGAGGTCAACTGCAGAATGCACATTTAGCAGAGTTAACAAAAAAAATGATCTTAAACATTTCAAAAGAAAGCATTACTAAGTGAAGTCAAATATATATAAAAGGCACATTTGAAACAGCATAACTAGCAAAATACCGGTAATAAAATATTCTCATAAGCATAGAACACATCTGCTGCTGTAGCTGCAAATCCTGCCAATGGTGGTACATGGCAGCGACTGTGGGTGTCCGTGCTCAGTGCGCTGGGTCTGCTCAAAAGGACAACCAAGAGAGTCTCTGACCTCTGGTATGTGTCCTTAAAACTGCAGCCTTGCTCCCCGGTTCCCCACAGCAGATTCCTAGAACTTGTTAATATCAACATCTTATGAGTATCCTGTATAATAACTAGTTTTGCATTTGCCTATTTTTTTCCAAACCGTCTGTGCCCTGAAACAGTGATATTATTGTCTTTTCCAACCACTCACAGTCCTTTCTGAGTACAGTACACATTAATATCTAAACATCTCGCTATGTGTGTCTATTCAAAACAAAGTACTGCCGAGTTAAATGTGATTTAGTACCAAGTTTATTTCCATGTATGCACAGGAATGTATCCTAAGGCTGCAGTCTTGACTTGGGAGTTATCCCTTTTCGAACACTTCTGAGTAAATACAAAGGCTGCATAAGAAAAAACAAAAACACACCTATATGAATTCCCAGCAGTTTTGCTCTCCCTTTAAAAACAAAAAACAAAAAACTATCTGACTGTTCTGTGCAAGAGTGTATAATTTTACTATGCCTAGGAATGTAGCTATCCTTTGTGTCACAAATCTTTTTATTTTAAATGGGATGCAAAAGGAGGAATCCAAAACCGTGCCCGTTATAAGTTTGCCCGCTTCTCTGAAGCTCCGAAAACCTAAAACTAACCTAAGCTCCAAACTTCATGCCAAAAAAAAAAAAAAAAATTGGAATGAAACTCTGAATGCCAAGTCCTTCTTGGGAAGAAACTGTAGGAGCTGTTCCTGCACATGAGGCACTGGAGGGGGGGGGGGCGAGATAGAAAAAGGCTCCTAATGGAAACGCTGACAGATTGCTAACCATAAGTGCTGTTGCCCTAAACACAAACACATGCTCAGACTTTGGGGAGAATGCTGTGCAATCTTTAATATAACAAGCACAATCCCACAAGGCTTCACCGTGCAGTACAGGTCCCTACGTGGGAGCCCAAACCTATGTTTGGCTTAACTGCCAAGTTTCCTGTTCCCTAAGACTAGCCAATAAAACTGTTGAAGGAACAGACCCCGCTAGGTCAGAACAAAGGTGGGCACTCTGTGGCCCTCGGCCTAATTTCATGCATTCCTCCACAAGTTATCAGTTCATATATCATGTGCAAAAGCCATCTCCTTCTCCTGCCCCAACCACTGCAGTCTGATGGGCAGGGAGGGAGAGGAAGAGGAAGAGGGGATGGGTTGCGAAAACAGATGAAGGGTGATGGAAGAAAAACAGGGGGACACATGGAGGCCCTGACCCTATCCACTGCCAGCATATAGCTCCTGACAGACTAGCCTGGAGGAAATGCAGGCCTTGAAAGATTTTTTAAAGTAGTTTCTCACTCCTGTTTTGCTGCACCGTCATATTGCCAACTGTGGTACCCAAGGTGTTTCCAAAAACCTATGGAGTTAGACGTGATGGCAATTGTCGTCCCTTGTTGTTTGTCCCTTGCACCTAGTATTCAAAGGCCCAAATTCCTGCACACGAAGTTGTCATTTCACTGCCATGGCTAATAGCCATCAAAGAGGCAGTGTGGTGTCGTGAACAGAGTGGCAGACTAATAATAATAATAATAATAATAAATTTTATTTATACCCCGCCCTCCCAAGCCAAGGCTGGGCTCAGGGCAGCTAACAAGCAATAATAAAAACAAGTTGAATGAATACAACTTAAAAACAAGATTAAAATACCAAGGGAAGAGCCACGCCATACATTTTAAGTTCTGGTTAATTGTGGTTAAAGGAAAAAAATATGGTGTAATAAAAAGGCAACCTTATGAGGAATGGTTGAAGGAGCTGGGTATGAATGGTCTGGAAAAGAGGAGACTGAGAGGAAATATGAAAGCCATCTTCAAATATCTCAAGGGCTGCCACATGGAAGAGGGAACAAGCTTCTTTCCTCCTGCTCTGGGGGGGTAGGACTTCCTTGGAAGCTTTTAAGCAGAGGTTGAATGCCCATCTGTCATGGATACTTTAGAGATTCCTGCATCATCATCATCATCATAATTTATTATTTATAGCCCACCCATCTGGCTGAAATTCCCCAGCCACTCTGGGCGGCTCCCAATCAAGTGTTAAAAACAGTACAGCATTAAATATTAAAAACTTCCCTGAACAGGGCTGCCTTCAGATGTCTTTTAAAGATAGGATAGCTGCTTATTTCCTTCACATCTGAAGGGAGGGCGTTCCACAGGGTGGGCGCCACTACCGAGAAGGCCCTCTGTCTGGTTCCCTGTAACCTCACTTCTTGCAATGAGGGAACCGCCAGAAGGCCCTCGGCGCTGGATCTCAGTGTCCGGGCTGAACGATGGGGGTGGAGATGCTCCTTCAGGTATACAGGACCGAGGCCGTTTAGGGCTTTAAAGGTCAGCACCAACACTTTGAATTGTGCTCAGAAACGTACTGGGAGCCAATGCAGATCTCTCAGGACCGGTGTTATGTGGTCCCGGCGGCCACTCCCAGTCACCAGTCTAGCTGCCGCATTCTGTATTAATTACAGTTTCTGGGTCACCTTCAAAGGTAGCCCCACGTAGAGCGCGTTGCAGTAGTCCAAGCAGGAGATAACTAGAGCATGCACCACTCTGGCGAGACAGTCCGGGGGCAGGTAGGGTCTTAGCCTGCGTACCAGGTGGAGCTGGTAGACAGCCGCCCTGGACACAGAATTAACCTGCGCCTCCATGGACAGCTGTGAGTCCAAAATGACTCCCAGGCTGTGCACCTGGTCCTTCAGGGGCACAGTTACCCCATTCAGGACCAGGGAATCCCCCACACTCGCCCACACCCTGTCCCACAAAAACAGTATTTCTGTCTTGTCAGGATTGCAGGAGGTTGGACCAGATGACCTTGGGGTCCCTTCCAACTCTATGATTCTATGAATCTATGAAATGCAACAAAATTTTTGTCCATAAGAATCATAAAACACGAATGAAGGTGTATTCTATAAGGTGTACACAAACCATCATTGTCCCCGCCCCCAAGCAAGCACTTACCGTAATGGTTTCTGTGTGCATTTCTTAAAAATCCATTAAAACCCATGTTTCCCAATAAGTCAGCTTGGCTGAAAACACCACAGCTCTAACTTATTTTCTCTCTCTTTTCAGCACTTATTTAAAAATGAACTGTCTCTTTCCCCAGTGCTGAAACATAATGACACCCTAAAAGTTTCTGTCTGATAAGGATGCAGCAAGAAACAGAAATGTACCCATCGGACCTGGTTTCCATTAGAACTTGGCAAAACATAGTCCTCTTATATTGAGAGATTAATCAAGGCTCTCATACGGTAGCAGGCCAAAGCCAAGAGGAAATTCATAGTTATGAAGATGTGGCTTTTTTAAAAAAGAGAGAATCAGGGGAAGGCCATACTGTTCATAAAAGTCTCCTGCCCTGTCTGACCCGTTGAAAATGTGACTGTGTTATATCATTTTCCTCCTTTTCTAGGAGTGGTTTCTAAAACATTAATCTCCACCAATGAGACCAAATCATGTTCCTTTCGGGAATATTTTACAAAATCAAATCCAGCTGTTGCAGCCACCATTTGGTTCTGAAAAGAAGTGAACCTCACTCAGGCAAAAGTGGACATGCTTTCAAATTTATAATTAAGTCTGTCAAACAATTAAATATTTTTATCTTGAGATGTGCATGCACACATATACATACTGTATACATACAGTGTGTGTGTGTGTGTGTGTGTGTGTGTACATATGTACACACACTACACACACACAAATAGTGTGTATTTTATATTATAGTACATTTAGTGAAGTTATGCACAATATAGTATCACCACTCACTCACTTATGAAAGCAGTTGTATTTAGCATTATTAATAAAGAGTTTATTAGATTAGATCTCAGTTGTTTCATTTTCACTTCTCAGTAATCCACCTCCTTGTCAGTAACACTAGGATTGTCATTTGCTTGTGTGTTGGGTGCATACAGTGGTGCCCCGCAAGACGAATGCCTCGCAAGACGGAAAACCCGCTAGACGAAAGGGTTTTCCGTTTTCAATGCGCTTCGCAGGACGAATTTCCCTATGGGCTTGCTTCGCAAGACAAAAATGTCTTGCGAGTCTTGAGATTTTTTTTTCGCTCCCCCCCCCTTTTTCTAAGCCGCTAAGCCTTTAATAGCCTTTTAGCAGCTAATCCGCTAAGCCGCTAAGCCTTTAATAGCCGCTAAACCGCTAATAGCGCTAATCTGCTAAGCCGCTAATAGGGTTGCTTCGCAAGACGAAAAAACTGCTAGACGAAGATACTCGCGGAACGGATTAATTTCGTCTTGCGAGGCACCACTGTATTCAGGTTGCTCAGTGCAGAGTCCAAAGTTTTTACTGAAGTGACTTTCCCCCTGACCTTTTAATGAAGCATTTCCTTCTTTCCAAATGAGCCTTTCAGCAGTTTAATGCCTCGTGAGTATTTCCCAACAAGTTCTAAGAGATAAAATGATTACTTCTTATATTGCCACCTGCTCTGTATGTCTGCTGAAATTTTTTTAGACAGATGTTTCTCCTGATCTCACAGATGTCAGGCTTTTCTTGTGCCTGCAGAGAAGTCAATCAATATCTTCATCGCCCTAAACGCAAAGGAACTGTGAGAAAATACAACATGCCCTAAACAACTGTTCTGAAATTAGAAAATAAAAATATATTAGGAATGTAATTAACATAGTCATATATGCAGCTGGTTCGTATGCATGCATGAAGTCTCACTGTAGGGAATTGCTGATTTAACCTAAACATACCCAATGTACCATCTTTAATTAGAACATTTCTTATATGGCAATCAGTTAGCTAACGTTATTATTTTAAATAAATATCAAAAATAAAACAACTTATGTGATTAATTAGTTGCTTGCTACATAGTCTCTAAGCAGCTTATAAAAGTTCAAGAAGTTCTGATGAGATTGGTGATTTTAGTTTTGATGTAAATCATATCATATGATGGACTGACACTAAATTTGAAATTTAAGTTACAAATTTTTAAATTTTTTAAAATTAAAAAATTAATACAATTAACAATTTCCCCCCAACATGTATTGATTATTTAATATTTCTAAGAGCCACCTGCAAATTTCATCTTGGGATCTCAATGGGATCACATTTTTTAAAAATATTTTGTACATACATGTCTGCCTTTTTGGGTTCTATTTAGGTAGGATAAAGGGGTATTCTTGGAGTAAATATAACAATAAACAAGTCCTCAATTATAGCATTAGTTGCTTCAGACATTTCTTTAGAAAGTTATTCAGCTAAAAGGTGTCAGGCTTTTCTTTTAAAAAATGTGTTCCAAAGCAGTGATAGCTTCCTCCTGAACGATAGAATTAACACTTTGACAGAAGGTGGACCTGGAGTTGTTTAAAAATGACAAACCTTTAGCAACTTCTATTTTATTGACTTTGTAAAAATTATACACCTCGTTGATTGTAAAAACCAAACAAACAAACCACCTCAAAAGCATGGACTACATGGATGATGGACTACATGGAACTGGCGGAAATGACTGGCAGAATCCAAGACCAGGGAGAAGAGTCGGTGGAAGAAGACTGCAAGAAATTTAAAGTTTATTTACAGAAACATTGTAAAATTAAGGTATGTTAGAAGGATGTTGGAATGAAGTAATGTGGTTTTAGCAGAAATGCTATAAAGGATTAAGAAAAAACAGATTGTTAAATGGTGAAAGGAGGGAAAGTAAAGTTACATTATATTAAGATAAAATAGGGGACAAAAATTGGAAAAGATGGAAAGGACTTGCTGAAATAGCTAACTGAACTAGAATACAAAAAAGGGAGGTGTGAGGAGGTCAAGGAAACAAGTAAATGAAAGATAAGTTATGGGAAGATTCATTGTATTATTTTTTCTTCTTTTTCTTATTGTGATGTGATGTTCTGTTTTTGCTTAATATGCTGTTTTCTATTTTTTCTTTTTGTAACCTTTCAAATCTTTATAAATATTATTTTTTTAAAAAAAACCAAAAACAAAAGCAGTTTGCAGTTTTTTTGCATCACATTCAGTAACCTATCACTGCACTCATTGTGTGTGTGTATCATTGTTGTATCAGTGCAATGGGCACCCAAGGAGGAGCACACAAGGGCCAGGAAAATGGCATTTTTAAAATAAAACAAAATAAAATAATATTATTTTATTTTATATAAAATATATTATAAAATATAAAAGTAAAATAAAAAATATATTATATAAAAAATAAAAATACATTATATATTTATATATCATAAAATATATACTATATTATATAATCTATTTTTTAAAAATAAAATATTTTTATATATTGTATATTTTATATTATATAAAAATTTTAAAATAAAATAAATATTTAAGATGCCTGCCACTTCCACAATTTCCCAGCCGGCCCGAGCTCCGCCCATTCGCCCTTTCCCTGGTTCCAAGCCACGCCCAAACCAACGCAGCTCCGCTCTTCAACGCTTCGCGCCGCGCTCGGCAATTTCCGGCCCCGCGCGCGCCGCTCCTAACGTCACCGCTCCGCTCGTCGCTTAAGCGGTCGCTCCTTCGTGAAAACTCGCCGCAGCTTCTTCGGCTATTTCCGGAGAGAACTGCGGCGCTTTCTCTATCTCCCACCCTCCGCTTTCCCTCTCCAAGGCGCGACGCCGCGGTGCATTGTGGGGGCGCGCGCGGCGCATTGTGGGCCGGGAGGAAGGAGGAGAATTCCTCTTCCCTCCCTCCCCCCTCCGTGTGACTCGGAGCTGAGGTGGCCGCCATCTTGTCCACCAGCCAAACCATCCGCCGCCGCTGCTGCCGGGCTTTTGAGGCCTTGCGGGGAGAAAGCTCCGAAGCGGCCTCCTCCTCCCGCCTCCCCGCGTAGGGGCAGAGTGGATGCCGGGTCCTTCCCCGGGTCCGTGCTGCTGAAGACCTCGGAGCCGGGCTCCTCGGGGATGGGCCGCTCCCGCTCGCGGAGCTCGTCGCACTCGAAGCGCGTCAAGAGCTCCAAGCACAACAAGAAGAACCGGAGCCGCTCCCGGTCCCGCTCGCGGGAGAAAGAGAGGGCGAGGAAGCGCTCCAAGTCCCGGGAGAGCAAGCGGAGCCGGCGGAGGGAGTCCCGCTCCAGGTCCCGCTCCAACACCGCGCCGTCCAGGAGGGACCGCGAGAGGGAGAGGGAGCGGGAGAGGGCCTCCTCCCCGCCCGACCGCATCGACATCTTCGGCCGGACCGTCAGCAAGCGCAGCAGCCTGGACGAGAAGCAGAAGCGCGAGGAGGAGGAGAAGAAGGCCGAGTTCGAGAGGCAGAGGAAAATGTGAGCCTTTGGGGTATAGGGGGAGATGGGGGGGGAAGCGACGCCAATAAAGCCGCCGCCCCCCATGGTCTCCGGCTAGTGAGGTGGTTTTTCCTGGAAGGAGGAGCTGCTGGTGGGCCGGCGGCGAAGGGGCGGACTTCGCAGCAGACGCTGCTCTTGGCATAAGCGCGTGGGGGCGTTTCTGATTTGAAAAGAGACAGCGGGTGGGCGGGTTTGGGCACGGAGGGGGAGGGAGCAGGATGCAACTGTCATGGATGCTGGGGACAGGTCCTGTGTAGCACGTGTGTTGAAGATCCTGCTGCTGACAGGTCACCTGGCTGCACGCCCACGTGCCATCTGAAGGAGAAGGACAGCCCCCTTTTGTGTTTTTTGTGTTTTCCGCCCCTGTTTCTCTGTTGCAAGGAAGGCCTTTCTTCCTCCTCTGGCTTCTTTGGACTTGGCCTGCCTGCTGCTTGTCAAGAAGGTTCCGGCCTCTCTTCTTCCCTGTCACCTTTTCAAGGCTCCAAGCATGCAGTTGCATTTTCATTTATTGCATTTATTCCAGTATGTAGAACCATGGAAAATTGTAGAGTTGGAAAGGGTCATCTAGTCCAACTCCCTGCAACGCAGGAATCCGTAGGCAGCTTTATTCGCTGAATTTACTTGACGGCTATCGGGGTGGGGAGGAAAACCCGGGAAGGTTTGCTTGATGGAAAGTTATACCAAAGGGGCACTTTTCTGGGGTGATTTCTTTACCTTGCTCATGTCGTTGTAATATACTCTGCAGATGCAGTCGACTTACACAGCTTTATACAAAGTTGGACCATGGGTCCGTCTAACAGGATAACAACTGTGAGCTGCTCTCTGGGGTTTCCGACTGGAAGTCTTTCCCAGCCATTTGTGCAGATACCAATGATTAAATATGGTGTCTTCTGCATGCGAGGCAGGTGCTCTTCCATTAAGCTGCAATCCTTTCCTTTAGAGGGAAGGTTTATACATTTTGAACCAAGTCCTTTTCCTAGACTGTACTGTCCGTAGCGGTGTAGCAATACTTAGGATGTGCACGTAGACATAGAACAGTTCTCACTGCAGCTCTTTGGTGTTACTACATTGCAGCCCAAGCTCTCACTGCAAGGGAGGTTTCCTGTACATCATGTTGAAGCACTCCCTCCCCCTCTCATTCCTCCCTTAACGTGCAGGCTGAACTAAGCTGAAGGAAGAATAGTGCTGCATATAGAGACTTGGTGAAGTGTGTGGGTTGCTAAAAGCTTCAGAATGAGGCACATTGAAGTGTTCTGGCTGCAGTGTTGCACACAGAACAGTTGCAGTCTTATAGGAGAGAGCTATCTAGATCTGTAATACATCTCTGATAATTATTCTTGAATTTCACACACACACAGCCCTGGTTGATGCCACATGTATCTTGGTAAGTGGGAAAAACAATTCAATAGATTTAGTTAGAAATGCTAGTGGAGTACTACTGGAGGATTGGAGCCTTCAAAAACTGTTCTTCGTTCACTTGATGAACAAACTGATTTATTCTAATGCTATCAGAATCCTTATACCAGTATAGCACATACACAAATATTGTTCTTTTTATAAGCAATGTAAGCTTATTAGCATTTTATCTGTGCTCCACATTTTGAACAGTAACTGGGTTATTAACAGTGTCCAGTGCCTTACTCATGCAGATCACCTTGTGTGCAAATGTGACACTTGTGGGCAGTGTAACATAGGATAAGGCTGCTCATCCCTGCTTGAAGTAGGGATTTTGTTACGCCCAGTGCTCCCTGCTCAGGAAAGGTGCTGCTGCGTTCCATGAATACATTACATTGTTCAGAGAAGTTGGCCACTCTGTGGAGCAGCTATTTGCATGAAAAAGCCAACAGATATAGTGTCTGAACTGGCACTGAGCCACTGTAATTAAAGAAACCTTTCTGATCTTTTATTCTGCTTAGAGAGGGAATAGTCTACCCAGTGTAAATTAGTTATAGCGCATTGTCTTCTGGGATTTAAAAAAAATACATATTTGTACATTTGAAAAACTAGTTCTTCAGATTAATTTTATTTAGTTGACATTCTTTTTCAATGGGTTCTGTAGACACATGCTTCTGAGTGTTTGACAGAAGGCCCACTTCAGTCTTATGACTTGTGAATGGTATTGCTACATGAAATGCATTCTTGCACCGAAAGATCAGCAGGGATCATGTCCTAATGAGAAGTAAAGTTTGATCCTTGACTCAAACTGAAAAGCAGAATTGAAGATGTTTGAATTGGTCTGTTCCTGCTAAGTAATTAAAATCTTGACTTACAGAACTGTAGTTCTGAAACTGTAAGAATCCATAGATTGTGGGAAAAGCTAATTATCATTTTGTTATTGTACAAATCAGTATATTTTGAAAATTGTAGAATGCTTAGATGCTTGATGTAAAGAAGGTAGAATTGTCAAAGTTCATTGGTAGAACATGGGCTTACCTTTCTGGATAAATATAAAATCACATATACTTTATAAAAATCAATGAGGTCCCTGCTTAACCCTGACACATCATAATTTAAAAGGTGATTTGGTGGTAGGCTAAAGCCATTAAATACCTTGGAGAGCTACTGTAAGCCAGAGTTAAGTGAGCTGTTCCAATGGTCTTTAAGCATAAGGCCGTTCATCCTAACATGCAGAAGGAAGCAACATAATGCATTATTTTCTTATTAAAAGTTTTTGTACAGTATCCTGGAAAGAACTATCTGTGGGGGGTTTTGGGGGGGCAACCCTACGTATTGTGTACCCTCATTAGCTTACATGATGTATGCAGCATAGCGCACAACAACTTTTTAAAAGTATAATTTCCATAATGTATACAACACTTCATGTAGTCTTGTTCTGTTTCCAGTCTACACAACAGATTCTTACACATGTGGGCTGTCACAAGTACTGCAGCACACAGAACCTCACTTTTTACCACATACTGTTTTAATTTTCATAGTGTCAAAGGATTCAGCTGGCAGCATGAGGAGTCCTTGTGTGTTGTGCTCTCAGAATCCTAACAGCTTAACTGATACCATTCAGCAAAAAATATATACCATTGCATTTAATGGGCAGGAGTTAAGTGTATGCTTCTCTTACAGGAAAAGGAGTGGGATTTATAAGAATGTCACTATGGCCAGTGTTTCAGGGCCCCACAGTTGCAGGAAAAAGTTTGAAATTGTGTTGAGACAATTTTTTGCCCCATGTTCCCCTAAACACCCCCCCCCCCCGAAATACACTAATAACCTAAAAAGTAATATTTGGCTGTCATGATTTTCAGCACTACATTAAGATTAAATGCTGCCTTGTTTTCATATAGCTAATAATCAAGGAGATGATTATGTGACACTGTTTAAAAAAGGCAGATTTTGCCCCTCTGGCTTGTTCTTCATGTTCACTGTAGCATAAAGCTTTGACATTTCTGACATTAAATTGTATGGTTATTTAAGGTGATATTTAATTGGTCCTGCCCATCAGCGGAACAGACTTCCAAAACAGGACTACTTCTCTTCCCTGCAGCAACCATTCCCCTCAGGAGGGTTGTGGGATTCTCCAGAGCAGATTGGGTGGGCACAGAGGGAGGTGCTGCAGAGAAGAGCAAGGAGAAGCTTTTTTTAAGCCTAAGTCGGCTTGCGTAACATTGTGGCTTTTTTCTTTATTCTCCCAGTGGCATACCTGAAAACTGTTAAAATACAAAATAAACACCTAAAATACAAAACTTAATCACATTAAAGCAAAGAAATGAAATCAAGTGCAGATGAGTCTTTAAACTTCCATCAGATCAGAGCTCCAGAAAAGGCAGGGAGAATAAAAATTCCTTTGCCTGACAGCAAAAAGTATATAGTAGGCACCAGGCAAGCCTGTTTAGGAAGGGCAATTGCACTGCTGTGGTGCTCTCTCTGAAAGGGCCAGGCTGTCTCCATTGTAGCAGCCTGCCAGATCTTACTTGGCAGTGGTACTTGAAGAAAGGCCTCTGGTGATGACCTTGTGGGTCAAATACATACGGTTCAATTATATTTTACATAGAAATAGATAGTTTTTTAATTACAGCATGCTTGGCATTGCTGCACAGGTGCATGTCCAATTGACATGCGGGTCCTTTTGGATCTGGAAGGCAAGGGGGGGGGCTTATATGTGCTCTGCTGATGCATGCAGGGGCCAGGAAAGCACACACCCACACCCTGTGCAAAATGATCTATGCCTGTATTTAGGGACTTATGAAACTGGGGGCGTGGCGGGTGGCAGAAAGCAATACTTACTGTTGAATCCTATAGTTCCACTTGTGTACATATGCAGTGCCTGCTATGCAGATGCACACATCTGTGCAAAACTTAATACATGATGTATCACATTGGAGGTGACAAAAAATCATTGATTTGGTATTTCTGTCCTTGCAGCCGGCAGCAAGAAATAGAAGAGAAGCTTATTGAGGAAGAGACGGCTCGAAGAGTGGAGGAACTTGTAGCAAAGCGGGTAGAAGAAGAACTGGAGAAACGGAAAGATGAGATTGAGCGGGAAGTTCTGCGCAGGGTGGAGGAGGCTAAGCGCATCATGGAAAAACAGTTGCTCGAAGAACTCGAGCGACAGCGACAAGCTGAACTTGCAGCACAAAAGGCTAGAGAGGTAACGCTCGGTCGTTTGGAAAGTAGAGACAGTCCATGGCAAAACTTTCAGTGTCGGGTTGTGCCTCCTGTTGCGTTCAGAAGGAGATGGAATACAGCAAATCTAATTCCCTTCTTGTGTAAACTTGCATTGCTGCGAAAGTTAATTTCTAACTTATTCAGAGGAGCTCACTGATACCTAAAACAGTTACTCTCCTATAAAAACCTGTGCAAAGGATACTTGAATTTTAATGGAACTGACCTACATATTTGAGAATGGTTTGAAACTTTTGCCATGGCTGCAGGATATATCCACAGTCCTTTCTTATGGGGGCAATGGGTTAAACAATCTGTGACTATGTATCCCTCGTTTGTTTTGTTTTACCTAGACTGTAAGAGGCTTTATGCCTTCAGTCAGGGGGCGGGAAATAAAAAGCAGGGTGCAATGCTGAGCTGCACTACCTTTCTTTAAACAAATAGATTTTCTTATTCTCCCTTTAAGGCAATCACACATTCTTCTTCAAAACACAGTGGAATAATTCCGGAACTCTGGTCCCATTCACTTCCTTCACAAAAGGCTTACGCCAAACTCATGAGATCCATTTTTTCAGTGACTACTAACAACTTCTTTTCCTCTAGACTAGAGAGTTGTAAAAGAGCAGGTTGTCCTTGTCTGAAGTTGAGCTAAACATGTGACTTCTTCTGTCAGCAGCTGGAGCAGAAGCTGAAAATGTCTTTCTGTGAGGCAGTCAGTAATTTGCTACTGGAGGTTTTAATGCTTGCCAGCACTAATCACTCCAGGATCCCAAAACTTCAAGTTAAACTCATTTTCACTCTACAGAAAGCCGTGCTGAGTGTCAGACAACTCATGCCAATTCCCCCCCACCCTAATTCGTGATTTGACCAAGTTGATTTAGTTCATTAGTTGTCAGTAGGAGAGAAGCTTCAGTAAGATGATTTCCCCATCCCCCCTCATGATTTTTTGTGATGCAGGATGTTTAAAATACAGAATAACTGCATGTGCTATAAATTCAGTTTGATTTTTACAAATCTAAACTTTGGCTATAAGTAACCGCTGAATTGCTTTTAAGATTTCAGTTTGAAAAACAAAACTTTGTATGATGGATTTTGGCTGGAGTAATGGTGCCTTCCCAAAGAGTAGATAATTGAACAGCAGGGAATAAGCATGATAACGGCTGTTCCCATCAGGACACTTTTATCACACATCATAACCTTGAATTCCTGGAGTGAAGGGTGCCAACCTGTAGCTGGTTACTAGACATAGCAAGAAGTATTTTCTTCACATACTTGCTTTGTTTCCTATTTACTATATTTTTGTGCAGACCTCAGGCTGATTTAGCAAAACCTCCACATATTTAAATAATTTGAATATTTATGATGATAACTGAAATTATTCTTGAACCTTCTTGCAATATTTTTGCTTATGGTTTGCATAACAAAGTTTCTTTAAAATTTATGAAGGGAACTCTAGTTTCAGATGCGATTTCACTCTCATACTTTCCCTGGATTCCCGGACTCCAGTTTAAATTGCAGAAGGGACAGTTTGATACTGTCTCTTAAGCTTGTCACACCCTAGGATGTTCAGTCCATTCACCCATGAAGGAAGCCCATAGTTCCTACGGAGTATGGATTGCCATTTGTACTTTTCGCTAACAGTAAATGTATTTTTTTTCTTATTAATTGTTTGCCTTAGGAATGTTTTACATATTTTTGTTCCTTCTTACCGTAAACATCTGCATTCCTCAGCTCAGCCTTCCTTGTATGTTGTTTCTTTATAAATGGTTGAGCTGCTGATGCAGGCATTGCCAAGCTAACAGTACAAATCATTTTAAAGAGGAAGCTGGCGCGTATGGCAGCCGAGGAGCACACTCTGCAGGACACTGGACAAGACAGTAAATATTCAACTTTTAATGCTGATTAAAGGAGTATAGGTAAAGAATACGTAGGTATACATGATTGGTGAGACAAACTATTCACTTTATTTATATTTTATATATTACTCTTTTAATTTGGTAAATACTATCCAGTTTTTGTAGTTGTCCTTGTTGATTTGTGTGATATTAAAATACTAGTAATAACTGGCTAGGGTTCTCTTGACTAGGGAGGGTTTAGTTGATTGCTGTTTGGACTGGGAGGGATGATTTAAATTTAGAGCTAGAGACCAAGTTTAGTGGCTGCACAGTTTGCTGTTTGAAAGACAAAAGACGGTGGCTATAAAAGCTGCCCCTTTAAGACAGTTCACAGAAGAAATTCCTAGGAAGACTAGTGCAGATGGGTGAGTGAGTATTTTACTTTTCTAACATCTTAACCTGTCCTCCCCTTTAGGAGGAAGAGCGTGCAAAGCGTGAGGAGCTAGAACGAATACTAGAAGAGAATAATCGAAAAATTGCAGAAGCACAAGCTAAATTGGTAAGTAGAAGTAAAGTTTTGATGTGCAGCTATAATAGTGTACAACTTGGCAATGTTGAGAACACTTCAGTCAATTTAAATAATTGGATCTGAGAACATTTAACTCTGTGCTGAATTGTAGCTAAAGGTCAATGATCTCTCCTTCCTAGTTCCCTGAAAATTGATTCCAAAATGTTGGGGGACCTTCCTAAACATCTTTGCAAAGGGTGAAAGAGAGACATAGAGATCAGCATGACCCCAATGAGAATTAAAATATGCTCTGGTGCTGTTCTGCAAATGCTTGCATAAGTGCTAGTGGATGAGTTTGCACAGGGTTAGAGTAGCTGTGTTCTGTAGCAGTTTTCATGCCTGTGCAACAGTTTTTACAAACGGAAGAAATAATTCAGTTTCACTTGTTTTTGTATAATAATCTCATGAAACGAGTGGAACAGGTCTTTTCACATGCAGCAACTGCAACTGCTGCATCAAACCCATATTTCAGATTTCTGAGATCTTGCCTATTCTTGTTGAAGCTAATGGTAAAACCTTGGTCGCCAGCTATATGTAACCACGAGAGAATTTAAAGGGGGGGACTTACTGATTTTACTTTGCAGTGCCTTTATTGCACTTTTGGAGCATGCTGTCTTGTGAAAGTGTTTTCAACTTTTTTTAAAAAAAGAAAATAGCTTGTGATAGGTAAGGGTCATGAAAATGACTTGCTTTGTTTCCTTAGAATAATGAGAGTATAGAGAGGTATATAAAGGTAGGCTCAATAGCTGGAAGGCAATGAAATTGTATGCTCAGCCATTTTGTTTGTATAACACTAAATAATGGTATAGGATTTGGGTGTTTTTGGCAAATGTCTTCTGCAGTATAGGATTGGTCCAGTATAGGATTGTTGGAGCAGCAAATAGCATGTGAGGATTGCACAATATCTAAATTCTACTGTTTTCATGTTATAGGCTGAAGAACAATTGAAAATTGTTGAAGAACAAAGAAAAATTCATGAGGAGAGGATGAAACTAGAACAAGAGAGGCAACGTCAGCAAAAGGAAGAGCAAAAAATGATCCTAGGCAAGGGAAAGTCTAGGCCGAAACTGTCATTCTCACTAAAGAGTCAGGATTAAATTTCAGCTCTGAACTCTAATGGAAAATGAAACAAAACTTTGTATAGTAGCTTCATGTTGAAGTGTTTTTTTATTTTATTTTCTTTTGTGATTTTTTCTTTTCTTTTTGGACATCTGAAAAGTTAGCTTGTTCTAATAGGGGCTGTGCTCTACATCTCTCTTATTTTAATGTCTATTGAGTTAAATCCTTATCAGATCATTGTCTTCTTAAAGAATAAATCTGTTTTGATTCTATGATAAAATGACTTGATGCAGGTCAGGTCATTTTATGAATTATGGTATGGTCTGATAAGGTTTTTACTGACCCACTGATCTCAGAGTTATACTCTGATGTTAATTTTTAATGCTGGTTTGCTGACTTCTTTAAAAAAAAGTTTGGCAAAAGTATTGGTAAATTCCCACAGTGTACTGGATCCTCAGTGGTTTGTTATATCGGTGTCTTATGATACTATCCCACTATTGTGCTTGATGTTCCTGATACAGGTAAGGAAAAAGTTGGTCAGTGTTGGCTGGAGATGTGTAAAGGGAGTTCAGTATTGTCTCTGCTAGAATTGTTTTTATTCCAGTGGTAAAATTCAACCAGCATTCCCAATTGTGTAAATAAACCAATTTGCCGAATAAAGTGAAGTCTTAAATTCATACGTTTTAAGTAAATTTTTTTAGTGCATGTATATTTTATGTTAACGAACAGAAACTTGTTTTCCCATAACCAAAAGCACACTAGTATTAAGGTCACTAATATTTTTCATGCTCTCTATGCCGAGCTTGCACATACAATTTGAAACTATCACAGCTGTGCGGTTTAGTGGCTATCGCTGGCTTAGAGGTAGTTTTTGTTTTGACGAGATCCTCATTTCATCTGCTGTATCTTTCTTTGTCCAGCTTTCAAAGAGTTAATGAGGCTTCTGTGTGCCTAGTGGAATTGTTTACTTTTGAAACTTCCCTCGTTTCAAAAGCAGTTTGCCATCCAGCATTACAGGGTTATACTTGGGAACAAGTCAAAATACCCTTGTGTTCATGAAACTAATTTTTCCTAACGTTTGCATTCTTCCCCTTTATCTTCATCCCACCCCAGCATAATGGACAGATAAAAAGTGCCACATGCATATTTTTTAAATAATTCTTGTGGCTACTGAAAGTATTTGCTGGCATGTCCAACAGCCATTAATAGTTATGGTTTGTGATATTAGACTGGTGTAACAGTCTATGTATGCCATTTGAAGCACTTATTTTTTTGGCATAGGAAGTTTGCAATTGGATCACTAGAATAATTTTGTAAAGGCTTTTTGTGTTATTGTAATGGTAAACACGAATGAAGGTTAACATGCTAGTCCTTTTCTTCAGGCACGGAGCGTTTGGATCCTGCACGTTTTTGTCAGTCCCAAAATATTTTTGGCACCAAGATAGACAGATCAGTTTTCAAACATAACTGTTCTAGTGGAATTTCCCCCACCCCGGTTGTCATGTACAATGTTTCTACTAAAACTGCAGTATCCATAGTTTGTTCATAACGTTCTTACTTGAATAGTTGAATCAAAAAGGAACAAAAGAGTGATGGTGCCTTTTTTAGTTTTGCAAGCAATGTAACATCTTTTGCGTCGGGTATGTGACCCAGATCTGGAAGAGTCTCATGTTCTGTTTGCCCAGATTACAGGATGAAAAGATGATGATGAAATACACAACAGCTGAACAGTCAATATCTTTGAGAATGTTTTTAATAAATTAATACCGCTGTAATCATTGTGCTGTTCTTCCTTCTACCTGCGTTTAAGTCTCAATAGTTTGCTTTAAACTGTATGGTAACTAAACTGATGCGATAGCTAAAAGCAGATGTATTGGGAAGGGTATTTTTAAAAACTCCATGCTGTCCAAGTATAGTTATTTTTTTATTTAAAAAAATGCATGGACTTAAAACCTCCCAAGTCCTCAATACATTTGATATATTTTACTAGTATTTGTTTTTTATGTACAAGATACCAAAAAGAAGGGGGAGAAACAACTAGTTTAAGCTGTGAAATAGAAAGGATATCTGAAGGGTCCTGGCATCACCTAATAATAGTGAATGCATATAACCAGAAGACATATTTATGTAATATGAACACCTATGGTTGCAAGTGGTCTTTATGTCTGGGCAATTTTAAAGATATAGCTCTAAATTTACTCTACATTTTTAATGAGACTTGTATTTCAGTTGCCTAATAAAACCATGCTTTATTTCCATATAGTATGGTAAGTTTGATCAAGTGACTAATAGGCATTCCTTCCACAACAAAGTGTCTTGCAGCACCTTTAAAGACTAACCAATTTGTTCCGGCATTTAAGATGCTACAATGCTGCTATTTTCACTTTCCTTATATTGAGAACTCTAGAGCAAAAGTTGATTTTAAAGACAAAATCCTGCCTTTTTTGTTTGTTTTTTTAACAACAACAGTAGTTTGAGGCTGCTGTGGTTTGCAGAGTTGGAGATGGTTAGGGTCTGGTCCTATTCAAACTCCCTGCAGATCCGGTGCAACATGATGTGTGCTCTACAGATAAATTCTAAGGAAGCTTTCTTCTTTTAATATTAAAACATAGTTATTTCACTCATTGTTATGTTAGGATCCAGTAACGCATACCTTTCTAATGCTGCTCAGTGTGTGACAGTGTGTCTTTTTTTTCTTTTTGGCACACTGTACTGTATCTTGGAAGCCATTCTGACAGCTGACCTGTCCATTTCAGTTTAAACTGGCAAGGTGGATTACCCCTCCCCATATTCATTAGCAAACCTCCTTTCCTTTTCTCTTTTTACTCCACTTCCTGCATGGCCAATTAAAAGAAAAAGGCCGAGAAACTTGCTGACACCTGCCAATTTTTCTTTCTCGTAAATGTATCCAAAGAACCTCTGTTACAGGCGATAATACATTGTGGAAGTACTGTAACTTCTTAGGGAAGAACACAGTTGCTGCCTTTTGCTTCAATGTGTCTTCCTGGAAGAAAGATGAACAGCCTGTGATGCATTGGGTTCCACTGGCTTGAGGAAGGCAGAACGGGAAGGGAATCATGGTTTTGGCAAGTTCATGAGAAATGAGGAATCGTTGAGTCAAGTGTGACCTGAAGTGGTGGTGTTTGGGGAAAAAACACATGCTTTCTTAAAAGTCCTTTTCTGACTTTTCCTAAACGATGCTGGGGTGCAGGGTCTTGCACCCCAGAACTGAAGACAATAGGCTGGATTTTTATTTTTAGTTAGGGCTGTATCAAACCAATGGAAACCCTTTGTAGCTGTGGAACCTAAGGACCCAACCTTGTTTGGAAAGAACTGATCTCCCCGCAGTGTCTCCCGTGAGTCTCTTGTTAGTATCAAAGGTAGATACTTCCTTACTTCTGAGTCATTGGAAAAGGCCAGTGGCAGGGAGCAGGAGTGCCTGGAAGCTGGATCCTGAGAGGGAGTTAACTTTGCAAGTACATCCTAATGATTTCAGGGTCCCTCAATCCCAACAAATGTGCTTAGGTAAGGCTGCAGGCGAGAGGCTTTAATGGACAGCGAGCAGACGCAGCTCGGGTCGACTGTTCCCGGATGGCGACCAGTTTTTCCAAAACCTAGTAGAAAAGTGGAGATCACTAAAGAAAGCCTTTTCTCTCCCCCTCGAGCCCACCCACCCCCTTGATCTTACTATTGGGAAGTTTTTGTGTGTTGTTGTGTTTTTACTTTTTTGTTGTCGTCGTGAGCTGCCCAGAGTGGCTGGGGCAACCTAGTCAGATGGGCGGCATACAAATAAAATAATAATAATAATAAATTATTACCAATTTAAATGTGGCAGACCCAAATCCTCTTACAATTACACTGTAAGGCCCAGATTCCCAGGAATTCATTCGCGGTTTTCAAAGAATAAATCTCCTATTTATTTATTTTTAATCAGAATAAATAAAATTTAACTAAAGGCGGCCTTGCCTAAGAGCTCACATTCGCCCTGCAATAACTTCAGTCCAGTTTGACGGGACTGGCTTCCGTGTTGAAGCAGGCAAATGAGAAAATCCTTTTCGGGAACAATTTCGTGAAAGCAAAGCCACCGCCTGCCTCCGTCGGAGCTGAGCGAGACTTTCCGGCTTGCTCTCCCTCCTGGCTCCGCGCGGTCTGCTCGGCCTTAGGGGGCCCGATCCACTCGCTAGGCGCAGGAGGAACGATGGTTTGGGGTGGGAACGAAGCTGCGCTGCCGGCGGAGCCCAGAACCAGATTGTTCCCCCGCGTTGTTGTTGAGTTTTAGTCCCGGGAAGAGAGACATAACTTGGGTTTAAGTAAACGGGGCTGTGCAGATCGCAGCTAAAACCTCCTTTTTCTCGGGAGCGGGGTGGCCTCCAGTAACACTCCTTTGAAACAATAAATCGAGGCAAAACCATCTTTAGCCTCCCGTTTTATTTCCTAACGGGCTGGCCAACGTTTTTGAGGCTGTTTGTGTCCTTCTCGAGGAAGCAAAGGGATTTTTATTTTACTTTTGCGGGGAGGGGGTGCTGGAGAAGCTCTGGAAGAATTGCTGTCCCGGTTGAAGGGGGGAAAAAAAACCTCTTCTGTTTCCTGGGAAAGTGGATTCAGATCTGTCCGAAGATAGTCAACCCACCCTGCCCCCCCAAAAAAATGATTATTAAGGAGATTTGCGTGCAATCCCGAACGAGCAACCCGAAGTTTGTGATTCTGAGCTCGCTCGCAACGGTGGCGCAACCCGGTTTCCATGGAAAGGAGGATTTGGGTTCGGGGTGCTGTAAGTCGCTTGATGGAAACCCTACGGGTCCCTTTGGCTGAATTTTCCACGGGGCTGCAGTCCGGATCCTCCGCAAACCGTTTCCACGGTCGTGGGTCGGAGGAGGGACTTGTTGTATCCCAAAGCAGAAGTTGACCGGAAGGGCGACTTTTTCGCTCGCCACTTTGCGCACCAGCCTCGTGCGCGCAGAAGCAGCTGCCCAACTTTTCGCCAGGAGCAGCGCTTGCTTGGGGACCGCACCGGCCATTGAACTTTGGTGGAAGCCTCTTCAGGGTTGAGGAGAGCCAGATCAGACCGATTTCTTAAAAGAAATACTTTTGTTTTTTTTAAAGAAAAGTTTTAAAACAAGCCCGCAGTTCTCCATCTACTTACCTGGACGTAAATCCCAGTAAACACAATGGGGCTTCCTGCTGAGTAGACACACACATATATATGATTGAATTGTCGAGAGTATTTACACGTGTAACCTTCAGAGCTTCCCTGAATCACTATCGGATTGTTCCCCTGTAAGAAAATGTTGCTTGTTTGTTTTTCTTACTTTTTTTTTAATAAAAAAAAATGGTATTCCGCTCTCAGACATGGCTATTTACAGCTGCCCTTTCTTGCAGCCAAATCTCTTTTGTGACGTCCCGTATTTTTAGCTCCTTGGGGCTATTTTTAGGCTTTCCAGATGTGCCTCTTTCTTCGAAAGGGGACCCCCCTCCTTCTTTGACAAGGTTAACCCTGATTCCGGAGCATGGAAGAGGAAAAGGGACACGAGGCACCCTCCCTGCCCCCCCCAAAGCCCGAGGCTGGCACTAATTTTGGACAGGCTTTTCTTCGCCGGGCTAGCCTGTTTTTCAGCCTATTTTCGTTTCCACCGGACGCTCAGCATCACGGAGGATGCAATCAGAAGCCGTTTCCATATATACTGTTATATGGAAACGGCTTCTCGTGTGTGCGTGTGTGTGTTGTGTGTGTCCCAAAACACACATGCACACCTTCCTTACTTTAACAGCAACTCAACCGGCGCGCTTCTAAACAAACAACCCCCGTCTCTCCAAAGTTCACCTAACTTTATCTTGGGTCCTTGCAAAAAGCCGTTGACGGGCTTCCTGCCTCTTGTGAAAGAACAACCTTATCTATGCAAAAGTATCTTTACCTTTGCAAAAGTTTGGACAGAGAATCCCTCCAAGTGAGCAAATGGTGTGTAAATGACGCCTTTTCGGGTCCCCCTCCCCACCTTTCACCTTCAGATATCTGAGTCACCTTTCCAGCGATTGTCTCCTGGGTGAGAATCCGGATTTCCTCCTCCTCCTCCCCCCTCCTCTCTGGTCGGCGTCGGGTCTCCCCCGACAAAGGACACCGAATTCACAGTTGACTCGGCCCCGCTTGGCACTTTTGCGCGAGAGAAACCAACTGGGAGCCAGGCGAGAGACCCCGGCGCGCCTCGGACGCGCGCCTGTCGTGCAATTGGCGAAGGCAAGCTCGGGACCGAGTGCTAATTCGGACCAAACGGTGCCAGGAAAGCAGAGTCGCACGGCTTTGGGAAAGGGGAGTTTGGCTTCTTCCAAAAGGAACCAAGACCTTCTCCAACTCTTAAACATAAATAAAAATCCAACAAAACTCATATACACCCCCCACCGAGAATTGTCTTAAAAAGAAAAAGGGGTTTCTTCATCCCAAAATATTAAGATATTTGGGTTGTTTTAATCAAATGAGAAGAAACGGAATGATTTTGAAAGCGGGGGGCGGGCGGGCAGGAGAGAGGAATACGCACAGATTTAAGATAACTTTTTTACTGTCTTGGTTTTTGATGTTCCAAACTTGGGAGAAAGTTTCCAGCTTCTAAATTTTGACAGAGCAGTTTGTGGCCTCGCTCGCTGCATCTCTCCAAATGTTTATAAGAGAGCAATCAAAAAATGATCGGATCGTGCCAGATTAGAGACCGCATCTCCTTCGAAACATTGCAGGGAAATTGCTTGATTGTTCTATCCATTGCAATTCGTATCATTCCACGTAATGTCGGGTTGCTAACTGCCCCGCTACGCAAAGTTCTAATCCGGAACATATGGGAAAGTGGGATTTTTCCCTTGCGCGCTCCTCGGTTTTGGCCAGCATCCCGCGATGCGGAGGTGATCGAAAGCAGGACATTTCAACAACAAATCCCCAAACCTCCCCTTTTAATTTTAAAAAAATCAAGCAAGATGAAGGCTCCCCATTCAACTACAACGCAAAGCGGCGCTCAGGATCGCGCCGTCGAAGCGCCCGAGCGCGGCTGTAATCCGCTGCGGTTACCGTCGCGGCCGCTAGTGGGCGCTGTGGCTCCACGGAATTGTGCAGGGAGGCCGGTTCCGCTTAGCAGCGCAGACCTGGCGGCGGCCGGGTTTGCGGAGCCGGGGAACCTGCCGCGCTGCCGGGTCGGGGCTCCCTCTCCGCAGGCTGCTGCCCCGCTTTTCCTCTCGTGGGAAGGGGGGGGGGCTTCCATTTTTCAGCCGGGTTCCACTCTTTCCAAGCCGCGCCACCCAAAGACACCCCTCTTCCTGAGCGCCCTCAGACCCCCGGGGGCCGTGTGGGGGTTTTTTGGGGGGGGGGGGTGATATGCGGGTGGATGAGCCAGAAGCGAAGGGAGAAGGGGGCAGCCTCGTTTGCAGCCTCCCGAGGTGGGAACGAGGCGCCCCTCAGCAAAAGGAACCCCCGCGTTTCCATTGGGAACCAGCGGCGCTCAGCTGTCTCCGAGTTTCGGCGGGGTCGCCCGCTCGCCTCAGGAGTTTCTGTCGCGGCCTCCTCTAATGCGTGTGAGGGGCATGTGTGTGAGCGCTGCCGCTCGTGAGGAGAGTGAAGTCTTCGACTTCGAACTTCTCAAGCCTGTAGTCCTCAAGGGACTTTCGCGAGGGTTATGGCGTTGTGGCATTGCGGGGCGGCTCGGCCCGGCGAGCGCTGCGCTCCAGACGCCTGAGGAGCGCCGGTCCGTCCCTCAAAGTTTGGGAGCCCAAAGAAGCCACCCTACGCTTTCCCAACGCCTTTAAAACAAAGGTTTTTATTTTATTTTATTTTAAAAGGAACAAAAAATCTAAGTGCGCTTTTATTTTCAACATAAAACTACTCGGCTGGGAAAGAGCGTTTGCGACCTATAACGATCCCCACCCTATGAGGTGACTGACTGGAGCTACTGGATTACCTGTCGCCGCCCTTCCCTCCCTCTCTCCCCCCCCCCGCCACCCTCCCCCCCCCCGCCCGCGCGCAGGTTCCGCCCCTTTCGGAATGCGGGGCCTGAGCCTGGGCGCGAGCTTGGCGTAAGTGACAGCGGCGTCGCCCAACCAGCGCCGCCGTTGCCGGGGAAGGGGGGTGGCCGCGTTTATAGAGAGGAGCGAGGAAGCGGCGCTCGGAGCCTCACTCTCGCCTCTGGAGCCAACGAGGAGTCCGCGGCGGGGAAGTCCGGCAGCCCGCGGCGAGGAGCGCTTGTAGCCGCGCGGGGAGGAGGAGGAGGAGGAAGCGGACCACAGCGCGGGGACGAGGGGAAGTTGAGGGGGGAAAGGAAAGCGGGAAAGCAAAGAGCAAAAAGGGGCTGCTGCTGCTGCTGCGGCGGCGAGCGAGAGAGCGAGAGCGCGCCTTCCTCGGTGCGCCTTCGCCAGCCGTGAGCTCGTCGCCACGCCTGGTCGTCTTCGGCGCGGGCGCTGGGAGCCCGCCGGAGCCTTCTCGCTTGCCTCGCTTGGACGCCGGGAGGAAGGCTGCCTATTTTTGCGGGTTGGTTTTGCCCTCATCCCGGGCCAAGGAGAGGATGAAGCCCCGTGGATGCGCCGGGCGGGACCTGCTGCGTCTCCTTCTCCAGGTGGATTTATAGAGGCGGCCAAGGACGCGCCGACGGGGGACTTGGGCGTTCCGGCGCTTTTCTCCCGTGCTCTTGCCGGCCTTCGCTCCGGTCCTTGGGGCGGCGGCGGCGGGCGTCTCTCTCCTTGGCGGGCGCTTCCAGTTGGGGATTGCGGCTCCTCCTCCTCCATGCCGGCGCCCGGGCGCCCGACGCACTGAGCCGGCAGGGCGAGCTCGTTCCCTGCCCGGGATCTGCTGGTGGTTGTGGCTCCTTCTTCTTGGCGGAGGAATTGTGGACGCCGCCTTCGCTTGCCTGGTCGTCGTCCTCCTCCTCGTCGTCGTCTTCCTCCGCGGAGTTGGCGAGCCTTTGGGACAGGACCCGGCGGCGGCGGCAGCGCCCCCGACCATGGTAGCGCGCCGGGGGGGATCCCCGTTCGGGAGGTGCTGCTGGGGGATCTGGGTGCTTTTGTGCCGGACGGTGCTGGCCAGCTCGCTGGTGCTCGAGCCCATCTACTGGAACTCCTCCAACTCCAAGTAAGTGCGCGGGGAGCCCGGATCTCTCCCCGGACCGGGGTTTGGGGACGGGGAGCGGTGCGCAAGGACAGGCAGGTGGGTGGGCACGTCTGGCATCCCTCGCGCGCCCAAGGCCCTTTCGCCAGGCCGCAGGATCTGGTCTGGGTGCGCTTGGGGATCGGTTCTGCTCTCGGAGCAAATGGAGGAAAAGTCTTGGCCCTTCTAGGTGGCCCGATCCTGCATCTTCTACAGGGCGCACAGTGCGGAGCTCCGGGACTTGGTTAGCGGGTGGCGAGGCTCTCTCTCCCTGGTACCCGTGCGTGCGTAAAGGAGGAAGGTTCAGCTCTTTTTGCTACGTGCGCGCGCGCACATCACCGATCCTAAACGCACCGGATTCCCCCGATCCACAAGCGAAGGTTGGAGCCTGAGCCTGCCCTCTGGGTCCTACGCTCGGGTTTTTCGTGCGAATGAATGGAGCGCAGCGGAAGACACTTGTGTGTTTATTCTGCCGCTGGTTTTGCAGGAAGGAAAGCTAACCAGAAAACAACCCCGTTGGACCCAGTTGTGTGGCGCCCAGGAAGCTGGCAGAAGTTTAGACAGTTTTGACAATGGGTCTACTTGAGGGCAGTGCTGCAGTGGTGTGGAGTGAGGAGCCAGCATGAGAAAGTAGGGAATGGTGCCAGAATAAACCAGCTGTTCCCTCTCCACTGCTACATAAACTCCCAGTTAGCTTGACCATTAGGTGAAGTGAAGTCTTAGATCCTTGGGAACAGGGCTGATGAGTCATGATGAGCCCAGCTTTTTCACTTCTGGCCTTCCATTACTAAACCATGCAGAACAAAGATTATGGAGGTGGCCCCAGCAGGGTCAGAGCATGTCTCTACGCATAACTGTTGGAGTGGATTGAGATCGTTTCTCCAGAAAACCATTGATGCAGTAAGGCAAAAGGTGGGAGTTTGAGCGGAGTTTCCACTTTGATTCCAGTGGATTTAAGATCGTATCTCTATGTGCCACCTATCAAAACCTCTGGGTAAAAAGACTAGGAGAAGGCACGGCCTGTTTGTAGTTCAGGAGCATGTGAATCCATGAAATGCATGCAGCGGTGGACGGCAAATAGTGAACTTTAGGTATACTTGGAATAAAGTGAGGCTTCTGGGAAGAGAGATTTCTCTTGCTTTGGAAGATGTTTTACTATAGATAAAGCTGACTATTCAAAGCCTCTATAGGGTCAGGTTTCTTCATTAGTGTGTGTGTGTGTGTGTGTGTGTGTGTGAAAGATGTACAAGTGAAAGTCTGGCCGGTGTCCTCATCGGGAGAATTAATTTTCGAGAAGACGTGATAACGGTGCCTTGTTTAATGATGTCTTAGGAAGTAGTTTATTCAAAATGAGCAGAGCACAACATGCCTATAAAACCTGAGCAAGCTTGCTGGATGTGAACAGAAGACAGGCTCTCCTATAAAACACGGTCAAACGGCTGTTAAAATACCTTTAAATGAGCAACGCATTGAGGAAATGGTCCGGTTCACAAGTGTGAAATAGCTCGTCAGTTGGGCGCCTGTGTGTGTTGCTTGCAGGCTCTGTGTGAAATGACGCAAGTTTGGATTTAGACCTAGAAAGCCAAAGGAGTTTATTCGGGAAATCACATTCTGACTCCATTTTTCTTCTGCTCCCTTTTAGATTTCCCTTCCTGTCCTTTTCCAAGGAAAGGAAGATTTACGAGCAGGCTTCTGGACCTTGATAACATGCAGGGTTTTGGTTTTTTTTTAATGTGGAAAACCAAAGAGGGGCCATTTGTTTTCATTATAATGCAGGAGCCTTGGTCCATCTTTAGCGGGATCTCGTGCGTGTTCAGCCCAGCGGTGCTTTCTTCCCTTCCCTAGGCAGACATACAAAGAAATTGCTTCTCTTTCTCTCCCTCCTTCGCTCTCTGTCTGTGTGTGCAGAAAACGGTCCTTACTTGCAGTTGACACTATGGATTTGAGCTTGTTGTTCCAGTTCTCTCTCAAACCTGGAAAATGTCAGATAGGACATTTGTGTTTAAACAAGGAAGGTGCCTGTTCTTAAGGGGAAGATGCATTTCTTGAAATTATTGTGTGTGTGTGTGTATTTGTTGGGAGTGGGAAAACCCACATAGCTGATAGCATTAAGTTTAGCCTTAGAGGAGAATGGCATATTCTCCCGCCTGCTGCTGCAGTCTAGTGATCGCTTTATTCCTACAGAGGTCACTCTTCCAATATATATCGGCATTCCGCTGTGCTGTGGTCATTATTCTTCTGGCTGCTTCCAGGCCTAACCTGCCTTCAGGGCTCACCCCCCTTTTTACAGAAAGCTTTCCTTTTCAGTCTCAAATGGCCTGAGTCGCTATTTACAGTACATGGCCTCGCCCTCAAAGCAGTAATTCTATCTAACATCTTCCCCTTGTTGCGTAAACTCATAAAAGGCCGAACGTTTATCAAGACTACAGTTGAATTACTTGTGCTTTTATTCCCAACTTAAAATGTAGTACTTGTTTGTCCACTGATGTGATTTTAAATTTTGTTTACCCAAATAGATTAGTCTTACTCAGCGCACTGGCAGAAGCATGCTAGAAGTGACCTGAGGTTTGTGCTCTCTCGCTCTCTCTTTAAAAATGGCTGTGGCCTGTGATTTTTATAGGCCTTGCGGAGGCCTGCACTTAAGGAAAATTTTCAAATGCAGTACATTATTCGTATTGCTGTAAGTGGTGGCAGGATCTTCACTTTTCAGAGAGCGTATTTCAGTTTAGAATGCATCACTGTTGTCTGCCTGTAGAAGAATAGCTAATGTTTCCTTATTAAATAGGAAATAAAATGCAGTTGTCTTCTGGAGAGCTTCCCTCCCACCTCAGTAACTTCTCAGGAGGATGTTAAGGCCAATTCCAAAGATAACTGCCCCGGAATTAAGTGTTTAATTCATTTAATGAAGTTAAATACGAACCGTTTACAATTCCTATATCTATTATACAGGGAAGCAATAAAAGAAAGAATTTTAGCCAGGCTCATAGTGGATATGTGATAAGACTGTAGAAGAAAGTAATCCAAATTCCTTCATGGCCTCCTAAACTGCGATTGCTCTGTGAGTTGCTTTAGTGACCAGAATTTTTAGCAGGTGGTGAGGAAGGGACGACAAGAAGACACCCAGATTGTATTTTCAATTGTATTCTGCTGTAACCTAATAGCTCCTTCATTTAAATATTCCATGTTTTTGTGAGTGAAGGATACATTGCCTATATTGCTTTGCCTAAAAGGTGTGAGCATATAGGTAGGAGGAAAGGAATATTTTGCTTGGATGCCACTTTTGATGTTGTAAGGCTTCAGACAATGAGGAACCCAGATTCTAGGAAAACATAGCAAAATAAGACTTTTAGTTCACTACAGGGACACTTCTCAACATAGAATATTTCCCTTCTTCCACTCTCATTTCCTCAGTGGAGCTAACATGACCACAACTTCCCAACTTAATAGTACAAACCACAAACTGCAGTTTATTCAGTACCTTTTAGTTTGAAGTGGATGGAGCTTTCCTTATCAATAACATTGGCTAAATTGACGTTGCCTTACCCTTTAAATGGAGTAGTTCTGTCAGCTAATCATTTTTCTTTATCCGCCAACCCTGGGACTATTTTCCTTAGCAAGATGTAATTTGACCAAGGGAAGGCAAACAAATAGCTAAATAATATCTCTGATAACCTATTACACGTAAAAATCCGCCACAGTTAGCCTGAGTAAACACTAACCTGTCAAGGACTGATAAAACGGCCTACAATTGATGGCCCAATTTAAGCCATCTTTTCAGTGGCAAAAACCAGCCTGCTTCTCATTGTTTGTTTGTGAAATTCTTATTTTTTTTTTTGTAGGCAAACAAATGCACATTCACTGCTGACTGAATAGCCCCTTGAACTGTGCTCTGCAATTTGTGTTTGGGTTAATCTTGTCGGTTTTAATATAGAGAAGTGGGGGGCGGGGAGGGGACAAAGTGCCAAGGATAGAGTGAATTGTTAGTGCTTCCACATCCCCATTCCTTGCATTTTGTCAGGATGATAAACTGTAAGTAATGGACAGTCTTGCTTCACAAGAAAACTCGGCCTACTGGAGCAGAAAGAGCTTGCTGAAATGCTATCTTGCAGCGCGTTTGGAAGCACTCCTACTTGACAAGGATTTATTTGGGAATCCTGGAGCTTTGCTTCTTAATCCTAACCATTATAGAGTTACATTGGAGAAACGCAATATATTATATATGAAGATGCTTGGAGCTGGCTCGCACACTGGATTATGTATCAAATGGTTGGGTACTTCCTTCTGAGCTAGCAAATCTGAAAATGGAACACTTGCACGCCTCTTCTTTGATAGGACAGGCAAGTAGCATACCCCAAAACCTTTCAGGTATTTTTTGCATTAACTAGGCTGCCAAAGCTCATAAAAAATTGCCTGGCAGCGGCCTAGTACTTCCAGCGCTGAGCGAGCCAAGACTGTTCCTTTTAACAGCTATTTCTGGTTTGCTTTGTACCAGTCAAGCTGAACTTACCAAACCAAAACACTTTGCTTTTTCAGATTTCATCTAAAACATAGGTTTGGATCCCAGGCCTGCCACGCATAGGGTAGACCCACTGAAATCAATGGCAATGAAGTTAGCCATGCCTTCAAAGGATCTATTCTAAACATGGCTATCTCTGTATCCAAGCCACGATTTAGCCACTTACTGCGCAAAGGCAAAGTCCCAGGCAGCACAAAACTTATTTTATTTACTATGCTTGTAATCCTGTGTATTTCCTTCAAGGAGCTCCTTCCAACTCTATGATTCTCACTCTAAGCTCAAGTCAGTGTGCATGGTTCTCGCCCACCATCTTATCTTCACAACAACCCTTTGAGGTTAGGCTGAGAGGTCTGGGACAGACAAAGATCACCACTGAGCTTTGTAGCTTGAGTGTGGATTTTAACATGGGTCTTCCAGGTGCTGTTCTGAGAACCCTTACCACTATGCAGCTACACTACACTGGATTTAGGTATGTTTAATCAATTCAGTGTGGTTTACTCCCAGGTAAAATGTCTATAGGATTGCAGCCTTCAAATGCTGTATGTTCCTTACAAGGTTTGCAAGACGTTAGCATCTTACATTTGGTGACTCTCTTAAACATCTGCGTGAAACTTAGAAAATTTATTGACTGTCGTTTTTCGACGGTCAGTTAGAACACACGATCGGTCGCAATCAAAATTGCTGTAATTACAGCAATCATCTCAAAGCCTCTTATCTGTATGCCTTCTAAAGTGAAGTTGCATGCACATGCTTCTTACCTGGGAGAAAGTCCAATTAAACTCAGTGCGCCTATTTTTGATTAGACATGTCTAGGATCACATTGCCAGTTCAGTAAAGGTAAATTGCTATCGTATAAACTTGAAAGTGAAATCATAATAGGAAAAGGCGCTCCCCACCCTTTGTCCTATTTTAAGGGCCACAGAACAACTTTCTGCTCAGGAAACAGTTCTTGAATAGGAAATTGGTAGAAAGTTTACCTCAGGATAAGTCTCTGTGAGATGTTGCACCTTTAGGAAGTCTGTTAGAGATGCTACAATTATGTGGGTTTTTGTGGTAGATGGGTACAGATCTAGTCTTAAACAAGCTTGGCTACTTACAACTTTACTGGTGCAAGCAAAAGACATGATATTCTGGGAAAGAAAAGTGTTCAGAACTCCATTTCCCCCCCAATTCATTTATGGCCTTTATGTAAACTTGCCATTAGCATGATGTGAGGAAGGCTTGAGTGGTTAAACAGTTTGATTAAAGCATGGGGACTTAATAACTTTAAATGCCGTGCTTGGAACTTAAAATGTTTTCATATTTTCAAGTTATAGATTCCTCTCCCCCCCCCCAATTTGTATCTGGCAAATGTAAAGTAGACTGCGGGGGGGGGGGGCGGTGTGATGGCCCAAGACAGTGTAAGAACTGCTTGGAAAGAGAATTCCCGTGGCTCCATTGTTTCTCTGCAAAGCTGGTGCACACAAAGACATAACGCTATTCATCCCTTCACCCATGATGGAAAATGTAAACCGTTGACACGGTCCCTCTTGTTTAACTTGTTTAATTCTCATTTTAAATTCAGTAGTATAGCGGCCGTGTGAACTCTGGAGATTTCTTTGGTAATCCATTTTGTAGTTCCGAATCAAAAACAAAGTGAAAAGGTCTGACACAATTTGCTTTTATTTTTAGGCAAATCAACCCTGCTCCTAGTTAATAAGGGGATTACAACCCAGACTAGGCCTTTACAGATGTAATGTAAATCAAGGGCAGGGTATAAAGAAAGTGATCCCCTTTGATTGAAGTATGGTAAAAAGGCATAGAGAAACTAGCAGCGGTAATCTGATTGTATGGCAATAAAACCACCATTTTCTGTCTTTCAGATAAAAATAATGTGGTAAATCCATGCAGCTCATAAGATGTAAAGGCAGATAAAGGGGGATGCCATGGCAACATATAGATTAGCTTGATGTTAGAAATGACACGTCTATGAAAGGAGAAACTAAGGGTCTTGCTTCGGGGCTGCAAGGTATTATGTGAGAATTGCAAAAAAAACTTGGGGGCTGGGATTAGGAAGTATGAAAGGCCTACTTGTAGCCTGGCTGGTTGAAGCAGTAAAGAAAAGCTGCTCAGTTCTTGCTCATTGGTAGCGTATAATATGGTAAAGGTAGATTTCATTTACTGCCCTTTTTTATTGCTCGAGATTTGGGCTGATTAAAACTTCGGATCACTGCAATTGTTCTGGCGTAGAAGTTTTTCCTTTTTAACTCCTGGCCCAGCGGCGACGGTCATTCTGTAGGATTAGCTGCACTTGGGAGTTTGTTTCCTTAATCTATTTGGGATATTCAGGCAGGGACATGCTGGCAAGGAACAGAGAGCAGAGAGGATAGGTGGCGTTGAGGTTATCTGAAAAGAAAAGAGAGGAGGCTTTTGATTCTAGCCATCTTTCAGACAGGGCCCTTGCAGCTCACACACCGCAGGAGAAGCTAAAATAAACATTCCACATTGTCCTTTCCCCTTGGCCAGATGATCCTTCTAGAGATATTTTTTTTTTAAAAATGTTTCTTATTTCGCAACCCCTGAGAAGAGAAAAGAAGTGGAGAAATCCTTCTTTACATTTTTCCAGACACCCCAAATAAACTTGCAAGCGCTTAATCCAGGTGGCATTTATTTCTGAAGGGCTGAAGCCTGAAGCTCGAATTCCACGGTGGACCTACTTCACTTTGGAAACAGTTGGATCAAACTCTTTTGCATTAATTTCAATGGAATTAGGCCAGCATAAAGGAAGTTTACCCCTGCTGACTGCCATATATCCTTAGGGCTTGTAGTAGCTGTAAAAGTAAGAAAAGAAATGGTCGCTGCTGCACGCATTCTTCAGTACATCTGCTTTTAACTGCCCTTTATAAAATAACTTAAGACTCCTGTCTTGCTAGAGCCCTCACAGTTAGTAAAAAGAAGCCAAAAGCTAGTCAACTATTATTACATAATGAGCCACCATATTACAGATGAGAAGCTCCTTCTTTTATCACTTGTCTGTGTGATAGAAAAAGCCAAATAAATTGTAAGGCTACACATAGAAAAACAAAAGGCAATTGGTGTAAAGTAGATCATGGAGTAAGTCTGGCAAAAACCCACATGTCAGCACTTCCTTGCTAGCTGTAATATGTTGTTACTGCGCTTTAGAGTTTTGGCATGTTGAGAGAAAGCCAACTGATTTCAACCCCCCTCCAAACCTGCAGCGTTTTTCTTTCCTTTTGCAGAACCTCTTCGAAACATTCTTTTGACCCATAACCGTTTTTCCAAACCCAAAATTGACATGCTGCTCAAAGTTAATATGGTTTAATAAATGCATTGGTGAGGGTTGAGTGTATTTGTGTAATGTCTAAAGTCTCATGCACAGCGATGTTCTCCAGTGTCCCAGCTTAACCTTCAGAAATCTATAGCAAAAGATCCATTTCTGCTGCAGATACTATGCAAAGCTCAGGGGCAATGCCCTCTACTTTACAGGCTGGTCACATCCAAGCACCTTGCATTCTGCATTTGACAATGATTGCTAATGGGCTATTCAACTAAAGTATTTGCTTGTTCACAGGGAACAGGGCATGATAAATGTCCAGCAAGCTTGCGGCCTCCTTTAGCTTTTCAAATGCAGACTGGTGCATATTTATGGAAGGCAAATCACAAAAGAAGCAGCTGAATTACTCTGGCCTTACCCTTTCTGTTGGAACAAGGGTTAAAGTGATTAAAGAAATAATGCAAGAACCAATGTCATTTGTTTGCTAACCATTATCCAACATTTAGCTTTCGAACCTACCTGTCATGTCACATTTCAGAAACCTCACAGATAAAACTGTGCACATTTAATATTGCATAGGAGAAGAGGAAATTGTTTATGAAGTGCTTCCTGAGCAGTAGCCGTCAAGCAGGCTTCTTTATGTCATCCCCTCTTGAAAGCAAGTGTGGATTCAAATCTTAACATTGTACTTACCTGTATACACGTCTTCCAAGTGCAGTACATGAAATTTTGCAGCTGGGAGATAGTGCTTTCTGTTGCAAAGCATATTCACAACACACAAAGGAAGCCATTAGCGCTTGATCTGTTGCTGTAACTAATTTTTCTCTTAAAAGCAGCAAATTTTTGTGGCTCTCGTTTGTCCATTCCCTTCTTTTAAAACAAACAAACCCATAAATTGAGACTGTTTTACATTAAGGGCCCACAGAACAACTTCTGCACGCTGGACATGCCATCATTTTAATGATACCGAATTATGTTACCATTGCATTCCTCTGAGGTCAGTGGAAATCTGGGTCTAACTCAGTTTTGGAGACAGTATGTTGTAGCAGTCAATTTACCTTTTGCTTTGCAATCCAAATGTTTTGTCCGTTTCGGAAGGAATGGTTTGACTCCAATTATAGAAATATTTATAAAATGTAAGTGTTTACACATGTGTGTTGTGTGTTGTGTGAAAGGCCACAATTCAGGCTTTTTGGATTATGGTTTTTCCCCCTGTAGTACATGCCCCTCTGAACTATTGAGTACCCGAGTCATACAGCAGTCTAATAAATGCATTTCCATACTTGCGTTGAAATTAATGTGAAGCTTGGATCCAAGTGACTCTGGTCATGATGATGCTGAAAGTTTAAGGGTCTGCAGCATGCGATGGGTGATGCAGTGAAGCATTGCTATGCTTAAATGTACCCTCCAGCCCATCCACCTTGGGTCTTCACTGCATCAGATGTTTAGACCCAGATTGCACAGGTTGCTTTCGTCCAATCTCTGAGAGCACTTTGGGTTATCCAATCCGTTAAAAGAAACATTATCATTAACATATTGTTACAACATTTTTCAAAAGACATGCGTAATTAAGTCCTCAAGTCAGCTCCCATTAGAATAATTGGAAATACATTAGGAGTTGGGTTAAAAACAAAAAAGAGAAGAAAAGCTGGATCAGCTCCTAAAAAGTTTACAGTATTTAAGGAGTTGAAATTCTGTTTCCTGCTGATTCACAGCTGTTGCAATTTACTTTACAGGAGTTATAACATAGCTAATATGTAGTACAAAGTAGCCAGTTTAACTAAAAAAAGAACTTGAGTGGATTTGATAAATGGTGCAGTATCCATGTCCTGTATAGCGTGTCTACACTAAGATTACAGCAGAGGAAACATTGCGAACATTGCTGCAGATTCTTCCTTTGCTTGCTTTCCGTAAAAGTTCAACACAACATCTGGACATCTTTGACCTGTATCTAGTGATAACAGTTAGAAGGTAGCAGGGTGAGTGGAGCAGTGAAAGTTTGTTTTTATTTCTAGTCAAGTGTACTTTACAGTGTAACGTGTAAACAAAACATACACGTAGCAGACTACTTAATGCTATTATTATTATTATTATTATTATTATTATTATTATTTATTATTATTTTATTTATAGCCCGCCCATCTGGGAGGCTTCCAACAAAATATTAAAATACAGTAGTGCATCAAACATTAAAAGCGTCCCTAAACAGGGCTGCCTTCAGATGTCTTCTAAAAGTCTGGTAGTTTTTCTCTTTGACATCTGGTGGGAAGGCTTTCCACAGGGTGGGCGTTCCACAGGGCCCTCTGCCTGGTTCCCTGTAACTTGGCTTTAACCTGGAAGCAGCAAAATGCCATATTTTAAAGTTTGAATAAGTTGCCTTCATATAGCTGCTTCTTGCCCAGAATGAACTATATAAAGGCTGATGGGTTTATTTCTCCTCATTGTGCCCAAAGAGTTTAAACAACGCTTGCGAAACTGCAGAGCTATTAAAAGGAATAGACAAGAATAAACCCCAGAGTCACATCCTCTAGGATCTTCCAGCTATCAGTGTCAGGTTTGTGCTGCATTATTAATCCTTGGTTAATAAATCGCATCGGACTGATTACCCTTCTTCTGAAGCTGTGGCGGAAAGTTACGTATAACAGCCAGCTTGACTTGTATTAAAAGCTTGTGTGTGCCCTTTTAGAATTAGAGATGCTTCGGAACACACCATTCTATTCTGGATATAGAAACTCCTGCCAGTTGTGTGAGCGGAACATCCAGATGTGTCCAGAACGTTTTGTATTCAGCAAAATCCAATGCCTCAAATTGAGACTTAAGTCCATCCTGGTAGTTGTCTACAGTAATCCAATAACAAATTGGGATGTACGTATTCTTATTTTTATACAGCATTATTGATGGGGTTAGCCAACGTGGTGCCCATGAGGCCTTCAACTGGCACCTGCATAGTGTCTTAGCACCGTCTCCACTAATGAAAAGTGTGCAGTTAAAGGTGGAAGTTGGAAGAGTGAAGTTCTCTTCCACGTCTTTCTAGGCACATTTTCATCATACCAGATCAAGCTTTAACCCAGATCTCATGGGAAAGTAAAGCATGTGTACATGCAGTTTCTCTTTTTCTTTCTGTTGTTGTTGGTGGGGTGATCTGGAGGTATAAAGGTAAAGGGTAAAGGTACCCCTGACCATTAGGTCCAGTCATGGCCGACTCTGGGGTTGTGGTGCTCATCTCGCTTTATTGGCTGAGGGAGCCGGCGTACAGCTTCCGGGTCATGTGGCCAGCATGACTAAGTCGCTTCTGGCGAACCAGAGCAGTGCACGGAAACGCCGTTTACCTTCCCGCCGGAGCGGTACCTATTTATCTACTTGCACTTTGACGTGCTTTCGAACTGCTAGGTTGGCAGGTGCAGGGACCGAGCAACGGGAGCTCACCCTGTCGCAGGGATTCGAACTGCCGACCTTCTGATCGCCAAGTCCTAGGCTCTGTGGTTTAACCCACAGCGCCACCCGTTTCCGATCTGGAGGTATTCAGGGAGAGAATTCACCAGAGGGGGTGTTTCCCACAGGACTCCAATCAAATTTTGCAAGGCATGCTTATACTGTATATTTAAAAGATGTATATATTTAAAACATCTTTACCCCCTTTCGCCACTGCTTGAGGCAGCTTGAATGGAGAACTGATGTTACCGGGCAGCCTCTGTATAACTAAAATAAACAGCATTGTGAAATGTTGCAACATAAGCAAGAAAAGTCAGTTCCCTACCTGTGGTGCTTCCCATCTAAATTTGGCACAGGGCTGGAGGGAAGGAATATTTTTTAGCCAGACAGGCCAGACTGTTGTCTTCCCAACCCTTCATGGGCCAAGTTTGACAAGTGGGAGGAGCTGCCCACCCGTCAAATCACCCAACATTGCAATAACATCAGGCAGCGGTTTTTGCCCACAGGGGTCCTCATAAGCTTGTTCAAAGCGCAGGGCAAGGTTGCACTTTGAGAGAAACTTCTGAAGGCTTCTTCAGAAGCCTCTCTCAAAGCACAACTCATATTGATTAAATTTTTTATGTATATATTTCAACAATCCCAAAGTTTGAGTGTGAGGAGCGTAGATGTAAAGGTGGAGTGTCATGGTTAAGTTGGCTGTTCTGCTGAAGAGCGCTTAAATTCTTTATGCACATTGTCTCTAGAAAATGACATTGCAAGGAAACTCTCAGAGGATGAAACTGTAGGTGCGCAGCTTGCTAGAAAAACCAGAAAAAGAGTATTTTTGCAAACGTGCTTCATGTTATATGAGATAATTCAGTAGAGCAAGTTTAATCAAGATTGGAGATGTAGTAGTTACATTTAAAAAAAATGTGGTGATCTGTCGTGGAACAATCCCACTGAACCGTGGTTACCCAGACCTTGACTCTGATTGCGAAGGGGCCCCCGTAAAAATTCAGGGCCCCCAAAATGTAGGTCCACTACAGAAGTTAGGTAGGAGTGACTTAGCAAAATGGCATAATGGGCCAAATGGAGAGACTTGGTGGGCTGAAAGTTCCCCTAGCCCTGGTATGGGGGAATGCATTGGGGGGTGGGAGAATACTATTGAGACAATGGATGTGCACAAATGCGGTGAATTATGTACTTGGGCATGGACGTTTCCTTTGGTGCATAATTCCATGCTGACCAAAATGTTTTGCGCATGCTACCTTTGATGAGTCTTAACCATGCTGGGGCGAAGGCAGAAACCACCAAGAGCCCCCTCCCCATTTCCTATTGTGCAGAGTGATTCTCTTCACCACAAGCCCACTGCTCTTACCAGAGGTCTCAGAGGCAGGAGAAAGGTCTCCTCTTGCTTCTGTAAATTCCAACATAGTGAAATGTCCTTTGGTTTCAGGTTACTTCATTTCACAGACAACTCTTGAGAGAAGGGTTGTTTTTTGTGTGTGGATCCTTCATGGCATTGGAAGCGACTGAGTTTGTGAACCCTAGGATGAGTTGTGTCCATTTCTCGATTACCCAGCCATGCGCCTCGGGGTGCCATGCCATTTTGCCAGTTGGAATTCTTGCTGCTCTAGCAGGGTAGTCGTTCTGCAGAGCGCCAGCTCACAATGCCAGCATAATGTCACCAGCTGTGATGTGCTGCTGCAGGAGCTATTGGGCCTCGCCCTAAGCACACATTTGGCATGGAAAAGGGGAAGCAAACAAATCGACTTCATTTTGCAACAAGCTAGCACAGTTCACTCCTGAACATCAAAACCTTCATTAAAGCTTACCTGCTTTGGCAAGTGGGGTTCAAGGAGTCTGGGCAGTCCTGTAGTTAAATCTGCACATTGCTGTACTGCTGGCTCTCATTGAGTGAGGTATCTTCACTACAGGTCTACTTCGGCTGGTGCTTACCATCTGTTTAACTGGTACCCAAGCAGCGGTTGATTTGTATGCCTCAGTGGGCAAAATTGCCATTTGGCATTAGCATCACCTTGACTCCTGCGAGGGGCTCTGCCGTCCTTTTGCGTCTTCTGTCCACACTCCAGTTGTTTTCTTCACATTTAATTAATTTTCAGTTTTATTTCAGGAGCAGTCTGGTTTAGTCATTCTACAGAGCTTAACCTTTATCTCTCCCCCCACCCTTTTTCTTTTCTCAAGGTAATTCTAGATTTTATTAGTGAGCTGAGCAGGGAAAAATCATGTTGGCTGGCAAGGCAGCCAAGCTGTGTGAGAGAAGGGTTTTTGTTTTAGCAGCACAATCCTATGCACCATCTACCTGGAAGTTAGTTCCATTGAGTTCACACCATGAGCAGCTCATTGCAAGCAGCAACAGTCGCCTGATTGTTGACACTTGTCAACTGCATGGGCAAAGACATGTCACCTGGTCATAGCTGTCAACTTTTCCCTTTTCTTGTGAGGAATCCTATTTAGAATAAGGGAATTTCCCTTAAAGAAAAGGAAAACGTTGACAGCTATGCACCTGGTGCCATTATTATTATTATTATTTATTAAATCTGTATACAGTTGTATCTCAGCTCCCGAATGATCGAAAACCGGAAGTGAGTGTTCCAGTTTTTGAACATTCTTTCGGAACCCGAAAGTCTGGTGGGGCTTCCGCGGCTTCCAATTTGGAAGTCGAATGTTTTGGAAGTTGAACAGACTTCCGGAACGGATTCTGTTCGACTTCTGAGGTATGACTGTACAGCTCTTCCTCTGAAGATCACTGGGCGGTTCACAATACACAATATAAGCATGTCCCATTCTGCCCCCCCAAAGGGCCTGCGTATCATTTGGACCCACTTAAAATGGTTGCCCCCTGTATAAAAATATAAAATGAGAACATCAAATGCAATAACCCCCTTCCCACAAACACATTTAAAAGGCCCTAGAATGTTAATCAGCCAAAGGCCTGGGTATAGAGAAACATCATTGTGATCTGAGGAGATTGAAATGTGGGTGACCCCATGGGCATAGCCAATTAAAGCAATAGAAATACTTAACTAACTGACCAATCAACTGTCCCCCTAACAAAAGTTCTGCCCCCCATAGGATTCTGGCTACACCCATGGGTGACCCCACCTGCCTTTCAAACTTAGTCCACAGAGACCGGGTGGGTGGGTGGAATAGGTTAGGCCTACTGGCCAAATTCTGTTCCTTACACTGGCACACACCATAGGCTTTTATCATCCAGAAGCAAAGCACCACACACCTGCGTCCAGATGCACAACTCCCGTGCCTGAGTCACTGCCTAATTTGCTTCACACCCTTGGGAGAGATGGTTCCAGATAAACACTTGGCAAGACAGGAGGAATCAAAAATAGGCTCAGCAGAAGGTTTTTCCGGTGGACCCAATTCTGTTCTCCCTCACCCACACACAGGAATTGTGACACAAAGCCATTGTTTTCATTAGCCCTGGCCTGTGTGTAATAATGAACTGGCTTTGTCCTTTTTGAGCCACCACAATTGGACATCACAAGGATTCCATATTGGACAAGTCTTCAGTGAGAGCATACGGCCTCAAATGTTTTTGTTGTTCATTTTTGGCTTCTAGCAGTCTACGGTGTTAAATATATTCTGGGTGCATCTGTGGGCGTGTTCTTGGTGTTTTTAGATGTACACTTCTGCTGTTTTACATGTACAGTGGTACCTCGGTTTAAAAACAGTCCGGTTAAGAACGATTTGGTTTACAAACTCCGCAAAACCCGAAACAGTGTCTTGGTTTGAGAACTTTACCTCAGTCCAAGAAAGGAATCTGAATGGTGGAAGGGCACCAGCGGCGGGAGGCCTCGTTAGGGAAAGCGCACCTCGATTTGAGAACAGTTTTGGTTTAAGAACGGACTTCCAGAACGGATTAAGTTCCTAAACCGAGGTACCACTGTACACCTAAAAATGTTAAAAATGGTTTCTTGTCAAAGTACTTGGGAAGCCGCACATGAAAAAGCAAATGGAGGTTTGTGTTTTTCCTGTGTGTGAAGCACCAATTTTGGGTCCCAGCGAACTATGCAGCCCAAACTGTGATGTGCTTGCTTGTATATGAGGTGTGTGCCGGTGCCTAACACAGCACCACAGGATACAAGGTGTATTGTGGTGATGGTGTGTTCCATGGTTGTATAGATGGCGGGCTATAATAAACACCATGTTCTTTTATTTGTTTTCGCCTTTAAAGACAACCTTTTTGTTCCATCTTGCAATTCTTTTCACATTTCTTCTGCCAAAGTTGTAGTAAATTCACTGACTAGGAAACTGGGTTAGATCAAGATTTCACATGAAGGATTTAGATTTGGTTTTCTTTTGGCTCTTTCCTAACAAATCTTCCCTACAGTGTTTTTTGGTGTGTGTTTTTTTAAAGTTGACGATGGATAAACAGTTTGAATGGGAATACTTTGACACAAAGATGTTTGGGAACTCTACATGTAAATTCTAAAATTTACGTGAAATGGATTTGAGGTTGATTCATTCACTTTATATATGCACATTCTCAATTACCTCAGGAGATCTGCATGATGAGTACCCTTCTCTGGGTAAAAAGAAGCTTGATTTCTGTACTGGCTGAACCCTGCAATTTTAATTTTTTTGAGGCTTGTGACTGTGTGTATCTTTTGGGCCTAGTATTCACAAGTGTGGTATTACAAGGCGACTGCAATAATCAGTTTGCATAGGGGCAGGGGAAAGTAAGTTTTGGTGTGAATTGGCCACAACTGCTGACACTGCCATTGTTAGAAATGACTGGTGCTACACATCCCAGCTTGAAAACAAGTGTGCTTAAGGAAGCTTGTGGTTTCTTCAACTAGGCAAAAACCACATGCTCTCTTTCTCTCAAGGAACAGCAAAACCAGTACCTCTTCTGACACATAGTCAGTGCTTGAACATTCCAGCCAAAGGACAAGGGAGTCCCCACCCTCTTTTGTTCTTGCTGTGTGACTCAGAACAAGACTGCACAGGTGCTGACAAATTGTAATTAAGAGGAAGGAGTCTCAAAACTTTTAAGGGTTGCCTCCTTACACTCTTACGTCTTGAAAAGGGGATTTCTGAATAAGGGACGCTGAGCTTCTGCTAGACTGCCACAGTCTTGTTGCATTGTCTCTACCAGCTTGGGCTTGTGATTTATTGTGCCCTTTAAAAAGTGCACTCTGGCAGATACCAGCTGGTCTCTCTGCAAGCTTGGAAAGAGCTGAGATTCAGAACTTTTGAAAAGAGGTGCTTGCTAGGCTTACTCTCCACTCTCTCTTCTTACACACTTAAATCTTTACATCTTTGCAAGGAAAGGGCGTTTCCTGCTTCCCAGATTGCAGAGCTCCCACAAGAATTCTCTTGAGTCAAGATATATATATCTTTGCAGCAAGCTATGGTGCAGAGTATTTTTATTTTATTTTAGGTACTGTTTTGGCAAATTTGCTGCCATAATTTAGACAGAATAGCCATAAAACGATCTGTGCAGTATATTTTGAATAGTGTGCATGCGCTTTGATGCAGCATCAAGCTCTATATTGTGGCTACAATACAGAATGTCAGTCTTTATATTGAAAGGGAGTCTGCTTTCATTGCAGTGCAGGTTCGGTTGCACAGTGCTGTAGGCAGTGAAATTTAATATTATTGTGACTTGTTTAGTAATTTTAGGATGACAGAAGGAAATGGATTAAAGTTTAAATATAAAGGCACACATGGCTTTTGTCAAATGGAATCTGAGGTTACTTACGGAGGGAGTGCCTTCTTTCCCATTGTCAGTATGAATTAGTAGTTTTCAAATAATCAGCCGCTAGGCGGTAGATTCAGTGTCTTGTCGTAGAAAAAAAGGAGGTTTACAGAGGCATGGTCACACATACAGACCTGACAGTGAAGTTACAGTTCATAGCTGTTGAACTGGTTTGGTGCTGTAGGCTTTCAGAATTTGGGTTTCTCATTCATTGTGCACTTGCATTAAAATATTTTTTTTGTTCGTTTGCCACTATATAAAGACCTGGCTGGGGTGTGGGGGGAGAAATAGCTATATGCATTTAATACTATACCCTTCAGACTCTGCAAATACAGCCTTGTGGCCTCCCAGAGCATTGCCTCCTTGCTATGTCTTTCTTTCTGTAACTATAACAAACCAGTCCCGACTGTTTTGCCTTGGAAATGTCCGAAAGTAGGTTTGCCTGAAATAACAGGAAAGACCCCCAAGTGCGGATGTGCCTATACAAAGGCAGGTGATTTCTGTTTAACCCCCTAGTCACTGACTTGTTCTGCAGCTGCTTGAAATGAATTGGCTCACCATCCTTACGGTTTGCATCTTTGGCAATTACTATAATGCTTCAGAACACAGCGTTTGACAGCCTATTCCTGTGTGAACCTACAGCTCTGTTGCCCTCTTGTTATCTTGCTAGTATTTAGAACAGTGCATTCATGCTCAAACCTGTTCTAATGTTACAAGTGCAAAAGGGGGCAGTAAAGTGCTATCCAGAAAATGCTATCTTTTTGAAGAGTGGGGATCTGCTTTTTTTTATTGCAGATACTCATTTTACTCTCTATTTGTTATCTCAGTTATTCATTGGTTAGTTATTTTAGGGGACACTTTTCTGCATTTAGTGGTTTTTAAGTGTAGTGGATGTGTGTTTGCAAAAGACTTACCAATTTTAACAATAAATGCAGTGGCGGGGAATGGTACTTCAGCTCCTGTCTGAAGTTGCTTTGCCCTTTTATTTTTTCCCCTCTTTTTGCAAACGGCCAGAACTCTTCTGTACACACACGTGTCTGACAAAGTGCTTTTGCAAAGAGCTTCAATCAGTTAACAGTTTCTCTTATGTGTGCTGTACTTCCAGCACTGTATTCCTATGGAAACTATGTCCCCCCCTCCACAAAAGAGGGGAAGAACGTTGAGAGTTGGGGCTGACATGAGATGTGGAGAAGTAAAATGTGGAGTGGTGTCAAGGAGTCAAGTGTTGGGCTCTTGGCCAGAGGTGCATGCATGATTCATCAAGAAGTGGTAGGAATGAGCATCTAATTGCCCTCCATTTACCAATTACTTTTTCCATCTGCTCATTCTGTGGGGCCAGTTCATCTCTATAAGGACATGCCCATGATTTTACTAAAGGTGTACAGTGGTACCTCGGGTTACATACGCTTCAGGTTACATACGCTTTGGGTTACAGACTCTGCTAACCCAGAAATAGTACCTCGGGTTAAGAACTTTGCTTCAAGATGAGAATAGAAATCGTGGCAGCGGGAGGCCCCATTAGCTAAAGTGGTGCTTCAGGTTAAGAACAGTTTCAGGTTAAGAACAGACCTCCGGAACGAATTAAGTACTTAACCCGAGGTACCACTGTACTATGTATGTATATGTATACATATCTGTGCACGTAAGGGGGAAAAAAGTATACTGTATGCATATGTTGGTATGATTCCCTATCCCCACCTGCAGAGCAGGCAAATACAATATTATAGTGTGATGTTCAGCAGTGAATTCTGGGGAATGCAGCTTCCTGCTGTGTCGATTGGTGGTTTTCTGATGGTGGCATGAGGCCACTGCAGTTGACAAGATTCATATGGCTAAAAAAAAAAAAAAGTTACCAGGGTGATAATGCAATTCTAAAATAGAATATTCATCATATCCATAAAGCATTTTTTTTTCATTTAGTAGACCAAAAAATAAAAAAGACACTGCTGCGCATTAGCTTGTTCTTTGTGGGAGCTGAAATTGATTTAGCAAATGGAACAAAGCTCTCTAGTGCGACAAGTACTTACAGCATTCCAGTAATTGCTCAGCAGAATATTGCAAAAATAATAAATAATAAAATGAAAATAGTTGTGATGTTACTATGTAAGGAGGTCATTTGTAAAAGTACCATTCATAACTCATCATTTTCAGCTAAAACAGGCTGTCCCTGCCCCGCCCCCCAGTAAATGATGTGTGAACTACATACCTCCCAATTCACATTTGTTTAAATCTTAGATACCCAACGTAAAACAGTCTTGGCTATATGAGAGTAGTGCAGGCGGGACAAGATTCTGTATATAGTTTTTCATTTGGGAAAAGCTCTCAGCAAATGATAGTGTTGCAGTGGGAAGATCATTAAGCGTGCTGTATTGCTGCCAGTCTCTAGGTTCAAATTCATGTGTTAAAAGTATTGCATGAAGATTTAGCCTCTCCTCATGTTTTTACAATAAAGTGGTACCTCAGGTTAAGTACTTAATTCGTTCCGGAGGTCCGTACTTAACCTGAAACTGTTCTTAACCTGAAGCACCACTTTAGCTAATGGGGCCTCCTTCTGCCGCCGCGCTGCTGGAGCACGATTTCTGTTCTCATCCTGAAGCAAAGTTCTTAACCTGAAGCACTATTTCTGTGTTAGCGGAGTCTGTAACCTGAAGCGTATGTAACCTGAGGCACCACTGTAAATATATTGTCCTGCAATGTGCATTTAAAGAAATGTTTTTCCTTTCTTACATTTAGCAAGTAAACAAGAGGCGATTTACTAAACACACTCTATCAGTTGTAACCTCTTGGATGTAAACTATTAGGCCCAGTTCATTTCAGTGTCTTGATGTTGGAAGACCCTGCATAGTGTAAGTTCGGTTGTCAATATCCGCCTAGCAAAATGGGCTTATGAAGACCCTTCAGCGCAAAGTACTGCTGCACAGAACTGTTGTGGGAGGACTAGGAGAGTGACATTGTAATATTTTTCACATATGATGATAAAGGTATCCTCGAGCTCTGCTGGTCTCGCTTGTATACCCACACGAATGTGTTCATGTGGGATCAAGAAGGCATCTTGAAATAGGATGTGCATTTGTAGCCAGTATAAATACTGCTCTGTATTCTCAAGTGAAAACACACTTCTAGTCCCGTGTGTGAAAATATTCTCAGAGTGAAGTAGGCTGGTGATTGAGGTTGGGCGGTAGTTTTGTAGCTGATTCAGGGTAAAGGTAAAGGTAAAGGGACCCCTGACCATTAGGTCCAGTCATGACCGACTCTGGGGTTGCGGCGCTCATCTCGCTTTATTGGCCGAGGGAGCCGGCGTACAGCTTCCGGGTCATGTGGCCAGCATGACTAAGCCACTTCTGGCAAACCAGTGCAGCGCACGGAAATGCCGTTTACCTTCCCGCCGGAGTGGTACCTATTTATCTACTTGAACTTTGACGTGCTTTTGAACTGCTAGGTTGGCAGGAGCAGGGACCGAGCAACGAGAGCTCACCCCATTGCGGGGATTCGAACCACCGACCTTCTGATTGGCAAGTCCTAGGCTCTGTGGTTTAACCCACAGCGCCACCCGCGTCCCTGATTCAGGGTACACCTGGCTTATTGGGGGGTGTGGGGGCAGGCCCTGTGTGTGGCAACAATGCAACAAAACAACACCGCCACAAACTGGCTTATAAGTATAAAATCAAATTTACTAGAATAATAACTAGAATAGAGATAGACTTGTAACCACTCAAGCAACAAACATACTAAGGTGCTATGTGCAAAACAAAGCCTGGAGATACTGTAAACATGGAGTGGATAAATGTACAACTGTATCTTAACAAGTTACATGTGCAATAAATGTTTATTCTAGTTATTATTCTAGTAAATTTGGTTTTGTACTTATAAGCCAGTTTGTGGTGGTGTTGTTTCATTGCATTATTATTACTGTCGCCGCATTTGATGCTTTGTGTATATACTGTGTGTGGCAAAGCAGCCCAGGCCTTTGAAGGAGCCTGCTGAATCGTTGTTAATCTGGCTAGTTTTATCTTTGTCTGTTTTATTTTGTATTAATGCTTATTTTCTATTGATTTTAATGTAACCTGCTCTGGGATTAGGGCTGGGCAATATATCGTCCAAAACAGATTTGAAGTCCAAATCATGATATTGTGTTTGTGTGTGTGTGTGTGTGTGTGTGTGTGTCTGTGTGTGTTATGGAAAAAAGAATCACAATGCAGGAAAAACCGTGAAGCCAGGCAATTCCTCTCCATACCTCCATCCTTATTTCAGACATTGTGACATACCAGTGTATCGTGATGTTTAGCTGGTTATATATCACAATGTTGAAAACCAGATATCGCCCAGCCCTATCTATCTGGGATTCCCTTGGCAAAGAAGTACAGTGGTACCTAGGGTTACATACGCTTCAAGTTACATTCAGGTTACAGACTCCGCTAACCCAGAAATAGTGCTTCAGGTTAAGAACTTTACTTCAGGATGAGAACAGAAATTGTGCTCCAGCCACGTGGCAGCAGCAGGAGGCCCCATTAGTTAAAGTGGTGCTTCAGGTTAAGAACAGTTTCAGATTAAGAACGGACCCCCGGAACCAGTTAAGTACTTAACTTGAGGTACCACTGTATTTCATAAAAATGCATAAAGTTCAGTAACCATGGGAACTAGAAAACACTGGGAGAGGCAGAGTACACCTAAACAGCTGGGGATTTTTTTAAAAAAGTCATTTGGGAAGAGAGAGATTACAGAAGAGTTGAGGCATGTACAGATGCAGCATCTGTAGTGTATTGGAAGTCTTCATACTCCTGTGGCAAATGATACACATGGGTTGTTTCCTGCTATTTCATGTTTGTCATAATATGTATATTACTTGGCATCCTGACACAGTAGAGGAACAGCCTTCCCACACTCTTTTACCACACAGGTAATACAGTGGTACCTCAGCTTATAAACACTTCAGGTTACAGATTCCGCTAACCCAGAAATAGTACCTTGGGTTAAGAACTTTGCTTCAGGATGAGAACAGAAATCATGCTCTGGCGGCGCGGCAGCAGCAGCAACAGGAGGAGGCCCCATTAGCCAAAGTGGTGCTTCAGGTTAAGAACAGTTTCAGCTTAAGAACGGACCTCCAGAACGAATTAAGTACTTAACCCGAGGTACCACTGTATAGCATATGAAATGGATCCCACATGGACTTCCTATTTCATACATTATGTCATCTGTGTGACTGAGGTGCCCGGTGTTCTTCCACTAGATGAAACTCCCAAGCAATGGATTTCCCCATTAAATAATTTCTGGCAAACAGGTTTTTCAGGTTTTCAAACATTTTCTTACACTAAATACAGTGGTACCTCTGGTTAAGTACAGTGGTGCCTCGCAAGACGAAATTAATTCGTTCTGCGAGTTTTTTCGTCTTGCGAATTTTTCGTCTTGCGAAGCACGGTTTCCCAAAGTCTTCAAAATCACCAAAGTCTTCAAAAACCTCAAAAAAGGCTACCACACCGCGTGCTATGAGTTGCTCCTTGAAGTCACCCTGGGTATTAACGGTTTTAAGAAAAAGGAAACAAACTTGCAAGCCGTTTTCGTTTTAAGCCCATAGGGAAATTCGTCTTGCGAAGCAACTCAAAAAACGAAAAACTCTTTCGTCTTGCGAGGTACCACTGTACTTAATTCGTTCCGGAGGTCCGTTTTTAACCTGAAACTATTATTAACCTGAAGCACCACTTTAGCTAATGGGGCCCTTTACTGAAGCAAAGTTCTTAACCCGAGGTACTATTTCTTGGTTAGCGGAGTCTGTAACCTGAAGCGTATGTAACCCGAGGTACCACTGTACCTCTTCCCCTGAAGAACAGCTTTTGCACGTTTGAAATGCATTTGGAATCGTGGACTGAATATATTTTGTACACATGCATAGGAGCCTGTTGTCCTCTTTTCATATTCTAAGCATCACTGCATTTCATTTATAATGAGGGAGCATCTTATGTTTGAAATGTCACCATTCAGACTCACATTTGGGGAGTAAAAAACAACAACAAGGAGGCTTTTCTTTTTTTAAAAAAAGGAATGAAAACAACTTGACATCTGTTTCTGAAGCTTGTGTATTTCATGTTCAAATCGCTTGCCCCAGTGCTTCAGTATAGAAGCTGGCTACGCATTGGCAAAGGGTGCAATCAGTCTGTACCTCTTGGCTGCTGGAATGGTTCCTAGCAGCCATATGCAGCTCCATATTTTCTATTGCAGGAGCCACGAGAAGGGCAAATAAGGCAGACAAAGGGAGATTAAAACCAATTTTGTTCATCAGCTCCATCTGGTTCTGTACGCCAGCCCTAAAAGTAATATGTTCTCTGTCTCCCTTTATCTTGCATCTATGTACACGTGATTAACAGCGCACCATTTGCTTGTTTGTACCCTGTTCAATTTCAACGGGGTTCTTGTTTGAATGTAAATCTGCAGTGAGAATGAACAGTGAAACGGCTGGAGGTTTTGCATTAGAGCTCTAGGTTTTGCATTTTGATTTTGGTGCTTTGCATCGCATACCTTTGCTCTGCAAGATAACCCAACAGCTGCAGACATAATGAAACTGCCCTTACTGTGCAGCTTTCAGCTGAACTCTTTAGAGGACGTGGCCTTGCCATCATTGGTTTGGCACCAGGTGTGGGTTTGGGGAGACTTTTGCTCTTGTGTATTAGTTACAGTTCTGTTTGAACCAAAGTTTTTTAAGTTAGCTAAAGCACTACCACCTCCTGCACGTTTTTCAAAGTGTCGTCAGGGATTGTGGATATGTAAAATCTCTAAAGACTGTATGTCCCACACAGATGGTGGCACAAGTACACCAGCAGCCTCTGCTTCATGAATGCAAAATGTCACAGAATACTTAATGCCACAGTCCATAAATCAATTAAGCCTTGCTTTAAGGTGAATCAGAAGTTGTGGTCATTCTAGTTAAGATAGTAAAATCATTTAAAATATTTACTGATGGCTTATTGTAAAACGCTTACACTCTGCCTTTCCAAAACAGCTCAAGGCTACCTGAAAAGCAAGAGAGAGAAAAGGAATACTAAAGATAAGTGAATGAATGAGACAGATCAATTAAAAATACAATACATTTGAGGTCTTGTGGGAGCAAAACTCAGAAAGATACATCCATAAGACCTGATGTAAAAGCCTGTCAACAAAAAAATCACTAACAGCCAAGCCTTTCTACCTTCACAAAGTACCTAAACTTTGTGCCCTATTAAATTGGAGTTTACATATTTCTAAGCTTCCTCATAAATATCTGGACAGCCTCTTTTTGCCTCTATAATCCTGTGCCTTGATGTAGTTTTTGAAGTAAAATGGCTGCAGAGCAAGTGACTTAAGGAAACAATAAACACCCACACATTTTTCTTCATGTATCTTTTAAAAAATACATTTACAATATGTTTATTGACTATCAGGCTGTGTTCTTTTTGAACGACTTTTTGAACGACTCCACCATTCCAGAGGCAATTGTAAGCCCCCTTACCTGAGAGCAAGCCCCTTTTGATCTTTTAAGTTAAAGACGACATAAAAAAGCCGGAAGGAGGAAGGAGGGAAGTCAGCTCGGGAGAGCAAGAACAAATGTGAAACATAGTGTATGTGTATGTATAGTATGTAACTAAAAATTCAATAAAGATCATCTGAAAAATAAAAAGAGAGAGAGCAAGCCCCTTTTAACGTGGTGGGACTTAATTCCAAGGAAGAATGCACAGGATTGCACAGACAGATTGTTTTTGGGTGAAGATGCAAAAATAAAATAAAACTGTGATCTCTGCAACCTTTTAACAGTTTTTAGGCAAGCGGAGATCCATTTCTAGCTCACAAACTCACAATTAAGAGTCTCTGAGCCATCGTCACCATCTTATTGCATGCACATTTTTATGTGCATGCTAAGGCACAGTCCAAGTGTCCCTGTTTTCCAGGGACAGTCCCGGATTTACAGAAGCCGTCCAGGAATGTCCGGCTTTTCCTTAGGACATACTTGCTTTCATCAGAGAAATGTTGGAGGGTACGCTAAGGCAGTCTTTCCCAACCTGGTGCCATCCATATATTGTAGGCCACAACTCCCATTGGCGAGCATGGGAGGGTCAGGGAAGGCTGGGGCAAGTTGTTGGTAGGCATATTTAATCAAGTGCAAGATGGCAGGAACCTCTGGTTTAATTATTAAGCTTTCATAATGGAGTAAGCACAAATGTTTGTATGCTTGTGTATGTGAGGGAGAAAGATTGCTCTGCGTTTTAATGCTAGCTGCTGGATAGGCCCATTCATTAGGAAGCCATTCCTTTCAGTCTTCAGAGACATTTTCTATTAAGGAAGATCTCTGCAGCAATATGGCTGACAGGAAAGATTTAGGAAGAGGGAAAGGAGGCTTTCAGCTGTAGGTATTAGGGGGATATTGTATCCATAGCTCTAAAGAGCAGCTTCCAGGCATTAATTGGAACACATGCATCCAGGCGTGGGGGTGGGGGAGAAAGATTGCAGTGGCCTTTGTTGCTTACGAGAGCGTGTCTTCATTTTGCGGTTGAATCAATATTACAAGCAATTATTTTAATTTTGAAACGTTTATTTTGTTTAAGGCACCACATTAAAATGAAGACGGTTATTTGACTGATGAGTAGCCAACTCGATAAGGAATCTGAAATATTTCAGATAACCATCTGATACCAGATAGTGCACACTTTAATGGTTTACGTAGACCTGCCCTAGTTTTAAGGGAAGGCAAAGCTTTCCTTTCCTTTTTTTTTTTAACGAAAGGAATGAGGGAAGGAGATGAGTTGGAAGCCTTCTAAAGGATCAGCAAGCAGAGGGAGGTATTGTGGACAAAAGGAGGTCAGATGTGTATCCATTGCCTGGAAGCTGAAGCAACTGTTGGTTCACTGCCTGTCCATATGGTAGGCTAGGAAGGGGCCAGCCAATGCCTCTGTTACAGTTGAAATTGCTCTGTGTAACATTTAATTATCTAGCACATTTATCACATACCTTCCTTAAATCATGCAGCTCATGAATGGCTTCCCAGGCAGTCTCCCATCCAGGCACTCACCAGAGCCAGACCTGCTTAGCTTCAGCAGCAGCATCTGCCCTAGACAGTGCCTGTGATATCACTGAAAAGCAACATAAACCCCACCTACACCATTATGAGGGTTACGTCGCATTGGAGAAACGTAACTTTAACAAGCTTTCTAGGGTGATTGCTTCCATGAGCAAGGCTAACATCATGGAATTGTAGAGGTGTAAGGGACTGCGAGGGTCCTCTAGCCCAAACCCCTGCAATGCAAGGAATCTCAACTAAACCACCCAACTTCTGCTTTAAAGCTTCTTTGAAGGAGAGTCCACTGTCTCTCCTGGGAGTCCGTTCCACTGTCCAACAGCTCTTGCTGTCAGGAAGTTCTTTCTGATGTTTAGGTGGAATCTCCTTTCTCATAACTTGAATCCATTGGTTCGGGTCCTAGCCTCCAGTGCAGAAGAAAAGAAGCTTGCTCCATCCTCCATGTGAATATGGTTATCATGTCTCCCCTTTACCAGGTTAAACATACCCAATTCCCTCAACCGTTCCTCATAAGACTTGGTTTCCAGGCCTTTGATCATCTTGGTCACCATGCTCTGCACACGTTCCAGCTTGTCAACATCCTTCTGGTGCCTAGAACTGGACACTAGACTCCAGGTGTGGTTTGATCAAGGCAGAATAGAGTGGGACTATTACTTCCCTTGAACTGGATACTATGCTTCTGTTTTTGTTTTTGTTTTGCTTCTTTTTTTTGCCTCTGCTGCATCGCACTGTTGACTCATTCTAAACTTGTAGTGTACTAAGACCCCAGATCTTTTTTACTTGTACTACTGGCAATCCAGGTAACAGGATGCTTAATATCCGCCAACTGAAGTTTCCCGCTTCAAAGAACATTTCCTTCTCATTTCAAAGGATGTTTGCTTTTTACCTCTTTTATTTTAATTTAGGCTGTGAACCCATCACTGTGTAGTCTGGTTCCAGCGGACTCCCACTGCTGGTCTTGAAGCCATATGCACATAATGTTAGCCACAATCCATATCTACCCTGTGGTTTCTTCAGAAATGCTACTGTTTGATGCGTTTCCCCTCAATGGACTTCCTTCCTAGTTGAAAACATAAGGAGCATTCACTTTGCAGCTAAGCTGAGGTGTGCACATTTGGGACAGCCGTTGTGCGTGCACAGATGACAAGAGCAGATGACAGCGTCATGAACAGAAGTTCAAGGGGGGGGTGTTGCAGGGCAGGGCCAACTAATCAGGAAATGTACACTGGGTGAAGACATTCGTAGTGTGCACAGCAATGTGCAAATGCGACTTGAAATGCAGCGGGGGGAATTTAAGCCGCTAAGGAGTGCGTAGCCTTAAAAAGTGGGGTTTGTGTGCGAAATAGAGGTCTTGTGGCCTGTGGCTCCTGTCCCATTCATTTCCTTTAGCAACTTAGATGTGGGTTTTCCCCCAAGTTTTCAAGCTGTATTTTGTTCCCTTTGCTGCCTCCTTTTCAAAATATGTTTCCAAGTGTCTTGACATTTTCTCTCCCCCCCCTGATTCTTTTTAGATTCCATCCTGGACAAGGACTGGTACTATACCCAAAGATCGGAGACAAACTGGATATTATATGCCCGAAGGTGGACTCTAAAACTAGTGGCCAGTATGAATACTATAAGGTCTATATGGTTGATAAAGACCAAGCAGATAGTTGCACTATTAAAAAGGACAACACACCTCTGCTCAACTGTGCCAAGCCTGATCAAGATGTTAAGTTTACCATCAAGTTTCAAGAATTCAGCCCTAACCTCTGGGGACTGGAATTTCAGAGAAACAAAGATTATTACATCATATGTAAGTGAACAATGACTTTTGTTTCCTTTTCCTTCTGTCTTGCTGCTGCTTAATTTATTCATTGTATTCAATCAAGTAAGAAGCTTAAAGGATTTATATTGTTTTCTTTAAAGTATTTTCATGGCAGCTTATTATTAACCAACTCCCTGCTGCTTTAGAGCTTTTTTTATTTATTAAAGAAAAGGTTCCAGGTTTTCATAGATGTGAGCTGTGTAATTGTGGTAGCGATGCTCATAATGCAATTTATGGAAAACACGGGCATCTTAATCTGGTTCCAACCAATGTATAGAGGGGCAAGGCACCGCCAGAAACAGCAGTTCTGCATTTACCCAAAGCCTTGAGTACACATTATGTACGTATGTTATTATTTTTTAATGTTACAGTATCGCCCCTCTGAAATAGGGTATGTCAATCACTGCGCATTGAATGGTGAACAGCAATAATTAAGTATAATATGCTACAGTTTTGTAAATCCTAATTTTAAGCAAATAGAAGAAGGGGGAAGTAGGAGAAATAGCTCAAGATGTGAAGTAATCTTTCTGGGTGGGAAAAAAAATAAGAAATTCCTAAAACATCACCTTGGTAGATAATTCACAAATTGATCATTTACATCAAAAAGTGGGTTTGGTTTCTATTTGCATAATCTTAAGTGTTCCGTCTCTAAAGCTTCAGAGAAACTGGAGACTTACAGCCTTCTTTTTCTTTATGCATGCCTTGCCTTTCAGGATAAGTCCTATCAAGCTGGCTTACCTTTTCTTTTTAAAAAAGCGAATATTCATTTAAGATGCAGTTGGAAATAGCTAAAAATTGAAATGTACACTTACTTGAAGGTTAATTCATTGAAATCAGTAGGACAATACCAGACAGGTGGGCACTGAATTACAGCACCAATGTGCTCTCATTTCCCCACTCTATTGTTTTGTTTGCAGGACCCATAGTGAAAGTTAAACAAAGCTCCGAATTATGGCCTTATCTTTGAGTGCAGTCTTAACAGTCCTTCTCTGTTGATGTCTGTTAGGGTTAGAATCAGTGCCGGAGTTACATATAAGCTAAACAAGCTATAGCTTAGGGCCCCACTCTCTTGGGGGCCCCCCAAAAAATTAAAGGAAAAAAATAAGATAAAAAACAAATAAAATAAAACCTGCATACAGCAACAGTGTTTTGTAGGCTCCTATGATGTAAGCAATGGATCCCGCCTGCTAGCCTGCTCCCTAAGATATCACTGGTTTGCTCATTTCTTCATATAGGATGCCTGCATTCTGCATGGACTGGTTGCATGGAAACATGTACATTCAGCTGCACATTGCAGTGCAGCACAGTTGAATGTAGGTCAAGCTGTTGTACCTGTTATCTAATATTAAATTATTTCACTATTAATATACTTCTTAATTGTATTTCAGTTCAGCATATATTCAATACAAAAAACAGCGACAATTTGTTGTTGACAAAGGACAGCTGGACATCTAAAGGGCCCCATTACCTCCAGCAACTTAGGGCAGGGGTCCGCAAACTTTTTCAGCAGGGGGCCGGTCCACTGTCCCTCAGACCTTGTGGGGGGCCGGACTATATTTTGAAAAAATTATAATGAACGAATCCCTGTGCCCCACAAATAACCCAGAGATGCATTTTAAATAAAAGGACACATTCTACTCATCTAAAAACACCAGGCAGGCCCCACAAATAACCCAGAGATGCATTTTAAATAAAAGCACACATTCTACTCATGTAAAAACATGCTGATTCCTGGACCATCTGCGGGCCAGATTTAGAAGGCGATTGGGCCAGATCTGGGCCCCGGGCCTTAGTTTGCCTACCCATGGTTTAGGGCCTCATCAAACCTAAATTTGGCCCTGATTAGAATGGTGCATAGCTGCCTCTCTGCCAGCCTTTGCCTGGGGAAAGCAGCATGGCAAATAACTGCCATAGTGGAACCCCTGAGGTTGGTCTGGTAGGCAGGTAGCTATTGCCAGCATTTCAGGGCAGAGGCTGAGTTTAGAGGCTGTGGGTCCTAGAAATCTGAACACTTCAAATATTCATAATAACTGAAAAATATAGAAAATTGGGCATGGGGAATAGCAATGAAAGTAAGTAGCTATTTCAAAGTTACATTCATTCTCCTTGTTTCTAGTAGATTCATTTATAAATAAGAAACAGGAAAATAGTCGCAGCAACTTCAGTGTAATTAAAACCTGCAGCAATCAGAGAGTTGATGAAATAACGAATGTGGAATATTTAAAAATGCAATTTGCTGGGTTGTAAGATTATGTTGTAAAAATGCACTGCGCTATCTTGGTGGGTAGTGCTCCCTGCTGTTGCCTGTGACTTTTTCCAGAAACGTGTAAGGGAATTTCTATTTTGCTTGAGTGAGAAGTGCAGCGCCGAAAGCAGAGACAGTTGCCAGTAGGCCTGATGAAAAAGTGCAACATAAAAACGTCTGTCTGTGCTCAAATAGCTGGTTCTGAGGATGAAATATTTCAGTTATCTAATGCTAGGGGGATTAATTCTCCACAGTAGGCCAACTGTGACATAAATGGCACCATTTTAATTATGACTTGAGAGTTATGGACACAAACGGAACTTCATGGTAGACTGTCAGCTTTGTCGTATCTGTGTCAGTAATCCCTCAGAGTAAATCCATAAGTAGGACTCATTTTCTTCATTTTTGTATAATTATTTCATTATGGCAATAAGGTATAATAGACATTACATTTCCGGGAGGATTAGGACATTCTTTAGGGGTTACAGAATTCACTGTCCCTTCAGCCTGGTGCCTTGGATATGGTACGAGATTTATCATAATGCCTCAGGAAGACATATTACTTGAAATAGGAACGTCTTGGCAGGACGTTATGCATGATTGGTTGGTGGTGCTTTAAAGGTCTGGTTTCAGATCACCTGTGACCAAAGCTGAAACTTAGTGAGGCATATATTTTCTTCACAAAAACAGGACACCAACATGCTAGAAATTCCCTCCATTTCTCAACTCCTCCAGATGTCCAGTTATGATCCTGTATTAGCACCAAGAATAGGACTTTTAATATTTGGATTGTCAGCCATAATTGTTCTTGCCACGAAGGGTATGTGACTGGGGAACAGCAGGTACTGCTTCCCCTTAAGAAGAAAGATAGGAGGCTGTCTTGCACAGAGTCAAATCATTGGTTCATCTAGACACTGGGACCTACCTCATGCGATGCTCACGCTCTGCCGCTGAACTTCAGCCCTTTTCCCTTGAGGAAAGAAAAGCCCCAAACCTATTATGAACAAAAGCAACAACTTTTTTTGTATTTTTAATGAATACAATTTTCAACCAGAGAATTAGTCTGCAAAGGCTTTCTTTATCCAACAAATACCTGAAGTAATTATTTGTAGGCGTCAGATACAAACATGTGGCTTAAGTGAAGTAATGCTGGGAGCTTCTGAGGGAAATGTGGCTTCCCTACCACTTGTTCACTTTGGAGAAAAAGGATGTGGCCACCAGTTAAGAAGAAAGACAGGAATGAGGATGAGTAATGGAATTGGTGTGTTGTTCCATCCTCTGCACATTTATTGAGTAGGAGTGACTACGTAACTTGCTCAGATGTTCACAGAACCTGTTCAGACTAATTTACCTTAATTCAGTCTGTTTCCAAGCCCATTCTGTGGCTCGACGCCTCTGCTCCGCCTGTGGTGTAATTCAGGTGCGAGAAAACCCCCACAAACATGGGATAAAAGACCATATCCAAACATAAATAGCTGTTGAAAGCATATCTCAGTTGCTTGTGCATGGAATCAACCTTTCTTCATCATCATCATCATTTTCTTAAATTGGTACAGAATTAGTCTTTACTTTAGGGTAGATTATCTCATTAATTATTGTTTTCTTGGAGGCCCTGCCTGTCCCCCCCCAATGGAAGAGAAGCTGGGAACAGGAAGCCCAGAATTCCTCTGGGACCTTGAGCTAATCAGGGCCCAAGGAAGAAAGATCCAGAGGTCATTTCCTGCTCAACTTTCCACCAGCCTAAAAACTGGGCAGCTCTTCCATCACAATACAAATTGCAGTCGAGGTGGAGGGTTATTTTGAAATCTGCTCTTTTTTTTAATTGTCCCATTCTTTATCCAAAAAACCCCCCTCTCAGAATAGTAAAGATGAGCATAAGTGACAGCCCTCACCATCACACTTAGACTCTAAAAGACACAACACATAAGAAAAATGGGATGGGAGGCAGGGGGGGGGGGAGCTTAAGGATCAGTTCATAAAGTTACAGTTCTTATGTCACCTAGGTGGGATAGAAACTGTTCAGTTAGCCTGATGGAACTGCCAACACTAGTTCACAATTGGGGAGAGCCAAAATCTTTCAGCTGAGGTACTAGAGTAGTTCTGATTCCCTATTCTTGTCCCCTTTTATTTAAATCAACGACTCACTACTTACATAGAATTTTTCTGGCAGAGATTAAAATAGTCATTTGTCTAGCCCAGCCTTTAGTCCAGGCATCCCCAACCTGTGGCCCTCCAGATGTTTTGGCCTACAACTCCCATGATCCCTAGCTAACAGGACCAGTGGTCAGGGATGATGGGAGCTGTAGTCAAGAACATCTGGGGACCCCAAGGTTGCAAAAGGCTGATGTAGCATATCATAAATGCCTTTACTGAATTAAGCCACATTTGATGCAAACAATTGTGGAAAGAAATAATAGTAGTAGTAGTAGTAGTAATAATAATAATAATAATAATTAATAATACAGAAACGTGTAGAGAGTTTTCTGTGTGGATAAAACAGTATCAACTATTTGTATAATGTGGCTGGGATTATGAGTGTCCAATTCAATGCTTTAAGAAAAATCTTGCTTGTCTTAGTACCTCAACAGAAGCCTGAAGGAGAATTTACAGGGTTACTTGACACATGTCATACCCTTTAACACAGAGCCTTCCACTTAGTCACACACCCAGGAATGAATATTACTAAATGAATTGCCTTCCAAAAATTAATTGAAGGCCAGGTTGATTATCTTAATTTGAAGGTCCTCCAGATGTTGTTGTACTCCAACTCCCATTGGCTCCAGCCAACATGGCCCAGTGGTCACAGGTGATGAGAGTTGCAGTCAAGCAACATCTGGGGGGCCACAGGTACTCCAACCCCATTGTGAAGTAATAGATACAAATCAATTTAGGCTTGTGAGAAAACACAGTTTGTTTGGGATATTGTCAAGCAGTGGGATTATTGACAGGTTGCTAGAACAGAAGTTGTTCCTTGGATTTTCCTGTTCAGTTTCTCAGATAGTTTGACAAATCCACATCTCTAGACCAGGCTCCAGTTTGCTTAGTTATTAAATTTATGTTCCACCCTTCCACACAAAGGACCCATGGGCAGCTAATTATGGGTCTTAATTAGCTCTCTCATTTGCTCTCTCATTACTATGTTGATCTAGTCCAAACCATAATAAATGAACCTTTCTTGGGTTGGAGACATAATTTCATGTGGGTTCCATAGTATGTAAGAGCAGTGATAACAGTCACTCAAGAATATATATTTCCTTCTGATACGGCATTTGAAAGAGGGACCTAGTGCTTCATCACCATGGTTTAACATCTGGAGCTGCCATTTGCATACTCTTAAGATAACCATTGGCTTTGCTAGCCAAATAGAATATATATGGCTTTCCTTCTTCTTTTTTGCCAACTTTTTCAAGTGACCCATTTTTGTAACTGCCTTCTGACTAAGATTAACAGAAAGAAAAACAAAGGTTATGCACAATGCAGAACTTGCAGCAACAGCAGAAAATCCTCCTGGATGGAATAAATTCTTATGTCTGCTGGTCCCACTAAACTCTGAGCAACTTCCGATAAAACATGCCTAGGATCAAGCCGAGGGGTGTAATCAACCTGGCCTGTATTAAAAAAGAGTGTTTTGTGTCTCTTGTTAAAGTCAAGTTATTTAATGGATGGAATTTTCAACTGGCCGTAAAGTTGTTTTGTTTCCTAGCGGACAGTCTTCGGTTCACTGCTTGATGTCTCCACCCCCATAAGACACATATATTGTTATTTGGTCAGTTCCTAAATTACATTTGTGCAATAGAAAACACGCCTTTGCAAAACAAAGCTAACAGACAACATTTTATTCATATGCCTCTTGTGTTTGCTAAGCATCTGAACAGCCACACATCAGGAAAGCAGGCCAGTTAAAAAACAAAACAAAAAAAACTGGGGAAGGCTTGTGGCAAAAATAGAAGCAGCCAAGCTCAGAACAAAACACAGTCACTTGGCCATTTTGTTCACTGTATCAGGGGATCTACTGTGGTCGAAGGAGGTGTGCACTATGTCAAGTGATAAAGCTTCTGCATGCTCTCAGTTTTCTTTTCTTTTTAAAAATTATCTGAAAAAAATGAGTTTTGAGACAAATCTTAGGAATGGTGGTTCATCCTGTCCCTGAGTTTTATTTATAAAAATATGTATATACCCCCCTTTCATGTCTGGGTGGTGTAAAGTAATATAAAAACATAAAGAAGCATTTTTGGATTGAGGCATAACAAAGAAACTACAGTTCCGCTTCTTTTTGAAATATATAAATAACAATATCTCTCTGTATATATATGAATAAAAGTTATTACTGGTTTCTGAACAGTTGCCCAACAACACCCTCTCTCAGTTGATTCCGTATGCCTTGTTTTGTTTCAATAGACTGAGCTGATTTGTTTTTTCCACAGCTGCATTATCATCCTTATTTTTAAAAGAATAAAGTTGTGTTTACTTTCAGAAACGGAACATTTGTGGCTATAGCCTGCCCTCCATGCAGTAGGGAAATGCTAATCTTGAAAGCCACCTTCGGTCGGCAAATTGCATTCCTTGCTCTCTTTCTCCTACCTACGTCTTCCAAAAGAATAAACAAATTACCTTCAGCCCCTCTTAACTGTAAGATGATATAAGGTGGTCGGTTATTGCGAGCCTTTTAAAGGGACTCTTGTTCAGCTGCGGTGGAATTAAATATAATTTTCACAAATAAAATTACTGGGTCTCCCCCCCCCCCCCAAGATTTGCAGAGCTTCAGATTCCTGTACAAAGCTAGTGAGGCTAATGGAGGTTCAGTCTGCTGGGTCTCCCTTCCCAACCCACATAGGTCCTATAAACTGAACGGAGCTGCTGTAGATTGCCTTTGTTCATATTAAGGTGCCATTATCTAGGCAGAGTGCTGGCTGCTCATCTCATTTAAAACTAGCTGGAATGGTAGTACAGCAGGAATATGTAAGTACCCCTTGCTTCATTCCCAAGTGTGGCAAATAAGAGG